TGCGCTGAAGGTAACCTCCTCCACTTCCAAGGAAGTGATGGTTTCTCGCTGTTCCTTCTGAACTGTGCCTTTGATATTCGGAGCTTCCTGGATCCCTGTTGACCTTAAATACTTAGCCAAGGATAAATCAGGTTCTGGCTCTGAGACCTGATCAGCACTGGGCTCTGGACCTGCAGAAACATCTTCCCACTTTTCTTCTCCATCCAGGCTGTTCTCAGAGGCTTCTGTAGTGGAACTTCTCTTCTTGGCCCAAGAGTCCTTTTTTTGTTCCTTCTGTGCCACAGAATTATCCACTGTTAAACCAAGTATGAGTTTCCCAAATGAGAAGTCCTTTGTTCTGTTTGGTTCCTGCTCGGTGTCCCCAGGCTTCCCCTCGGGGGAACCTGTGCTTTCTATCTCACTAGTGGATAAGCTCACACCTTTTTCAAAGACCTTTTCTATCCTGAAGCTGCCTTCCTCCTCTGCCTGATGCCAGGTCTGCGGTTTCTTCTCCTGTGCAGCTTTTTTCAAGTCACTGATGAAGGTGTCACTCCCGAATTCTGTTGGCTCCAGTCTCTCCTCACTCTCCCTCACATGCATTTCTTGTACTGTTCTTTGGAAATCTGCAGAGGACTCCAACAGATAACTGTGAATCTGTCCCTCAGGTGAATCCCAACAAACATTTGCCTCTGATTTGTGAATTTCTTCAGCAGATGTCCGCTCTTCAGCAGATGTGATACTGCCAAGGTTCCCATTAGAGATTTGCAAATGAGGTTGCCTGATTTCTTCCTGAACACTGACTTCCTCCTGCTGCATACCATGACTTGGACACGGAACCTCACTCAGAGACATCTCTTCCACAAGCACTTCACATTTGTGCACAGGGGAGATGAGCCCAGCTTCTCCCACCTCCACACTCTCTAAAGCTGTGGGAATTTGCATCAGCTTTGTGTTTTCCTCAGCTGGAAAAGGCTCCACAAACTTCTTCAGATCAAATATGATACTGGTCTCATCAGTCTCAGATGGCAGTAACTGCTCTTTGAAATGTACGTCTGAATGAACCTCAACTTCTTCAGTAAATTCCTGACCTGAATTTTCTATGTCAGGAGGAGGAAGAATTAAATCCAAAGAGTAGACGCCCACATCAGACTCTCTTTCTTGCAGTAGTTGTCCATCAATGTTTATTTTATGTGCAGCTTTCCCAGCATCAATCAATTCTTCCTTATGAAGATGGTCATCAACCTCAATGTCCTGTTCAATATCTACTGATCTCTCTTGTTCCTTAGCCCATTCCTCCTGCTGCTCCTCTTTTAGGAGACCTAATGAGTCTTTTGAAGGTGTGCTATTGTCCTGTAGGAGGGGCACACTTGGCTCGTCAACAAGAGACATGCCAGAAGCCATTGCCTCCCAAGCAGAAGCATCACTGTCCTCCAAGTAGCTGTCAGTCTCTTCTTGCATCAGTGCTGATAAAGCAGCAGAGAACTTTAGATCCTCGTGCTCCTTTGCCAGAGTAGACTGCTCAGAGGCAGGCATTTGCCGTTTCATTTCTGTAAGAGGTGACTTCAAGATATCCCAGGATAAGCTGTCTGTGTTTTGTGCCAGCTTGTCACCTTCAGCCTCCAGCTCCTCTGAAAAGTGGCCTGAGTCCTTGGCCACAAGTTCATACTTTTCCCTGGATGTGCTTGGGTGTGGGACAGTGGCATCAATTCCAAAGTCATGTTCCTCAGAGACTGCTTTTTCACTATGCTGTTCCATCTTAGAAATATCACCAGCATCCCTCACACACTCTTCTGCATAACCCACTTTCTGCTTTGCACAAACCTCCCTGATATCCCGCAGTATTGTTTCCCCTATCTTACTTTCTCCAAAGTCCTTTCCCACCTGCTCACCAGGTGAGGGAGACCACTGCAGGGACCAGGGTAGGTGGCCTTCTTCCTCCTCAGAGCACATGATCTGTTCCTCCTTTTCCTTCCCAGGTGTACTGAGAAACAGGGCAGGGTTCATGGCAGGGAGTACCTCAGTGTCTCCATCCTTGCTATACAACCTTGATGCACTAGGTTGCACTGTAAGCTCAGAGGCTGACTGTGCTGTTCCAGCCACATTCTTGGCCACACAACAGTACAGTCCAGCATCTGAAACAGAGACCCCTCGGATGTGTAAACTGTGAGTGCCAGCCTCACATTTCTCAAAACTCAGCCTCTCACTGGCAGAGAGGTTCTGGCCATTCCAGGACCAGGTCACAGATGGTGGAGGCTGCCCAGACACACTACACTGCAAAACCACTGCCTCCCCTTCACAGCAATGGATACGTGCTGGGGCTTCTAACACAATTTGGGGTGGCTCATTTCTGACATCAAATGAAAACTTGAACTTGTGTTTTATGGCAGGCGCAGCCTGGCCTGGAGAGGACTGCATGGTCTCTTTCATCTCTGTGTCTTGCTCCGGTGTTGGAGTAGGGGCAGTGATTTTGATTTCTACAGGCAGTGACAGCAGGTCTGAGTCTGGAAAAGTATTTGGCAGCCCCTGCTCTTCTGTAAAGGCCAGACTTACTTCCCTCTCCTCTTTCTCCCCTTTGTCTTGTTCCTCTTCTTCCTCCTCTTCCTTTTCTTGTTTTTTCTTTTCCTCCTCCTTCTCTTTATCCCCTTCTTCCTCCTTCTCTTCTTTTTTATTCTCCTCTTCCTTTGCCTTCTCCTTTTCTTTCTTTCTTTCCTCTTTCTCTAACAACCTAACAACCTCATAGGCCAGCATCCGCTGCCTCACATGGAGTGCAGCAGAGGTGCTAACCGAGCCCAGAGGGTTGGAAATCACACAGGTGACTGTGCCACTGTGCTGTGGGAGCAGGGGCGAGAAGGTTAGTGTAGAGCGGCACTCTGTGGTGTGTACTGCAGTGCCCCGGATGCGTCCTACCGGATTAGTGTTGTTGTACCAAGTGATCACTGGCTTTGGGCAGCCATGGAAGAGGCAGGAGAAAGTGACTCTCTGTCCCTCTACAGCCTCCTGGGGCCTGACTCCCTGGACGAAGAGAGGTGGGCAGGGCTCCAGGAGCCCACCACGTGCTTTCCATCTCTTCTCTGCCACCTTGGGCATGCTGTATTTTTCGACTTCCTGCATCTGGAAGGGCTTCGAGCCATCCATCTTGCCAGGTGCCTCAGGCGGGCAGGGCTTCCCAGGAGGACCCCCCTGTGGCTCGGACAGGAAGGACTCCTGCTTCTTTTTCAGAGCTGCCCTCTTTGCCTCCCGCAGCCGCTGCAGCTTCCAGCGGATTTCCTCATCCAGCAATTCCTCAGCATTCACCAGTTTTCCACTGCGCTCCCTACCACGTACTATCTCCAGACGGTGAGACTCCACTGATGGCAGTCTCTGGAAACGTATGGTCCGTACCCTGCCCCGGGCTGAGAAGTTTGGCAGCTGCTGCTCAGCCTCCTGGCCCTTGTCAAAGGGCGAGCCAGTGCAGCGGAGCACCACGCGCAGCCGGTCCTGGTGCCGCTGCTGCAGCAAGCAATCCCACCTCTCCTGCACTAACTGCACCTTCCCTACACGGCCCGAGTCCTGCTGCTCACTGCTGCGTGCCACCAGCAGTGAGGCAGCAGACTCAGCTGAGCCCTCGCTGTTAATGGCGAACACCCTGTAGCTGCCGGCATCGTGCTCTTGCACGTCCTGCACCTCCAGGCTGGCACGGTGCGTGTGCTCCTCGCTCTCGGTGCGGATCACCTTGCGGCAGTCCTGGTGGACTGGCCGATTGTTGTGGAACCATGCCATATGAGGTGGCGGGCATGCCACCAGCTTGCATTGGAAGACAGCAGGGTCCCCCTCCAAGACGGACCTACACTTGAGGCCCTGCATGAAGGTGGGTTTGCAGTTCTGGGAGCAGCCCAGCACCACCCTTCCCCCATGTCCCTCGGTGTTCGTCTTGCTGTGCCACTCTGGAAGAGAAGGGAGGAGACTGGGTTACAGTGTGCCTCGCTCTACCCATTGATTGATTGAAAAAAAAAAAAAAAAGCAATTGAATTAAAAAAAAAAAAAGGGCATGCAACAGATTTCATCACACACCCAGGAAAAAAAAAAGGTAATTCACTCACCATATTTGTTCGAATAAACGCAACGCCTTGCTCTGTTTTAAAGATTGACACGAAAATCGTTCGTTGTCTGTTCTTTCTTCAGACTGTGGGAATTTCTTCTTGAACAAGCAAAAATGAATTTCAAAACAACACGTTCTTCTGTGTATGTTTTTGCTGCCTGGAAAAGCTGCATGTCTTTGAGTGGCAAAGAAGAAAATCTTACCTGACTTGCAGACAGTAGAATAAACGCCCTTTCTGACCCCTCTGCTTGTAGATTAAATGCTCAAACAATTGAGAAAAAATATTTTGAAAAGATATACAAAAAACATAAGTAATTAGCTAACATGAAATGAGAAGGCGTTTATTCGAACTAATACAGCCACTAACAGTGTTATGCACAGGAAAAAAAAGCAAGCAACATGAACCACATATGCTATCTGCAAGCCAGGGTAAGAGATGTATAATGATGAATTAATGTATGTAAATGAAGTGCAAGGAATCAAAGGAAATGTATAGCTTCCACATACCCTGAACAACAAATGTATTCTAGCACAATTCATTCATTCAATAATGTTCATTGAACTGACTAGGTTAGATTGATAACTTGCTTAAAAATAATGTGATTAAGATTTGTATAGCTTCTTACTGAAGTAAACTATTGCATGCATTCAAAAGGAAATTGAACAAATAAAAGCTCTGTGAACAGCTGCAAAGCATGAAGTAAAATTTCAAAACATGGCTGCAAAATCATAAATTAGAAGTTTTAAACATTTTAAAACTTAAATAACCTTATAATGCAGATAAACCTTTGCATATCAAAACAAACGTGCAACATGTTCCAATATGCCTCAAAACGTGTCTGTCTTTCCCCATCAGACACTACACATAAGCAGATAAAAGCTTTTCACAAAGTTGCTAATTACTGGTACTAATTATTCAGTGTGACATCAGTAGTGACTGTACCTTTCACTTCCATTTCAATCTCTTCCTCTAGCTTCTCATACATAATTCTTTCAGGAGCTAGAAAAGAAAAAAAAAGAATTTTTGAGCTCAAATTGCCAATCAACAGTTTATGAAGTAAAACATTCAATCTCTTGCAAAGATACAGAAATTCACACAAATACACATAAACGCATGCCAAACAATGCAAATATTTATCTGATAAACGTTGAGAAAAGAGCAACCGAATGCTTTCAAACTTGTTTGCAATGTATACTTTTCTACAAGATTTATGTTTTTTCACAGGATGGGGGAAGGTTTCTAATGGAGCATGCCTTTATCATGCCTTAAATCCCTGAAGAAAACATTCAGCAATCCACAGGCTTATCAGATGCTTCTAGTTCTTTATCATCTCCCCGGGAAAGAATGTACTGGAATGCAATGATGCTGTGCAAGAGGAACTGATACTTGGAAGGAACATGCAGTTGCCAACCTGTCACTCTCAGATGGGTGCTGCACTCGGCTTGTCCTGCAGGATTAACTATTCTGCACTTGTATGTACCCTGGTGGTTCTGACCAACTTTCAACAATCTTAAACTGCACAGTGGCCCATCGTGTTTTAAGGAACACAATGCAGACTCCTCAACTATGAGCTGATTGCACAGCCAGACAACACAAGGTGTAGGCACACCCTTCATTATGCAAAAGAGTAACACATCGTCTCCTTCTTTTACAACGGTTTCTGAAGGCAGAGTTTCAAGAAACTCTGGTTTTCTGGCATCAGTTTCTGTGAAGTCTTCGCATGGCACAACATCAGGATAGTAGACCCTGCTTCTTTGCTTCTCAGCTTCATGTGATCTTTGGGATGTAGATATAAACAAGCTTGAAGTTTTCTTTGATGACTCTTGTTTAACTTCAGATGCTTTAAACTGACATTCTTTGGCTGCTTTAAAGCTTTTAGTATCTGATTCAAGGGTAATTTTTGTTACTGCTTTGGCTTGTGCTTCTTTAGCTAGGTAAGAATAAAGTTAGGAAAAGGATTAGGTCAGATGTTTTTCAGGAATAAAAAGCATCCTTATATTTAGACGTAAAATAGCTGTATGTTAGGTGGGGAAGAAAAACAAACATTAATTGGTTCTGAAAAGAATGTCCAGCATATTAAGGCTACAGGGCTACTAAATATGAGAAGTTTATATATTTTAAGAGCTTCCTTTCTGCTGGGACTAACCCTAATTCTACTTAAGCATTACTTGGTTCATAAGGCGTAATACAAGTCTATCTTTGCATTCGAGAGCTTCAGTGTAGAAAACAGAAACAGGCGATTATGTAAAGCACTTTACACAGCTCAGTAGTAAAGAAAGAAAATTCAACACGTAAGAGCCAAATCAATGTTAGAAGGTCAATGGCTTCCTCATTATTTTTCTGCTCTCAATATCTTCAAGTTTACAAATACGATCACACATCTAGTGTGGCAATAATGCATTTTTAGTTTTCAGTAGTGGTAACACAAATAACATTTTAATATAATGATGTCAAGAGAAAGGGAAGGAGCTTGTATCTCAGGGCAAGTGAAAGGTAGAAGACAATTCAGAAGTGCAGTAATACAGAACTTGCACCCATTAATCCTTTCAAGCATATTGCCCGATATTGCAAGCCTGATATGTGGGAAATAGGTTGGACCCCTCCAGTCTGAAATGATCACATATGTAGTTTAACTGACATGCTTTACTCTCTTAAACTTCAGCTTCAGGAATTCCCAAAATGCAAAAATTCCTATCTGCCTGTTCTGCTTTACAGCTCACTTTTCATATCAGGAAAGATACAAAGAATCAAAAGACACAAAAGACTTCTGTTATTTGCTGGAAAGAGGTATGAAGTTACAACACTTATTAACAGAACCATAAATGTGGAGGGGAAGAACCAAAGCATAGTTACTAGAACTTTCTCAATTAAATATTGATTGTTAAGGACATTTGAATGAGCCACAAGCTGTGATAATAAAGTTGCAAAACATGTCATAATTTTTAAAGTCAGATAACCACCTTTGACTGTTAGTATTGCAGCAGTTGTTGTTCCTCCATAATCATTATATATAGTACAACTGTACAGTCCTTGATCTATCAGCTGAGCATTTAAAATTGTGAGCTGTAGGACACTTCCATTTCGTGATATCTTCAATTTTTCTGACACTTCTATCCGTTTACCTTCGTGGGCCCAAAGAAACTCAGAGAAGAATTCATTTTCTAAGGCACATATGAACTGAGCAGTATCTCCAGATTTCACAGTTAGGTCTCTGAGTTGCAGGAGAATCGCTGGAGGAACACCTTTTGGTTCTTGAGCAGTAGCCATAGAGATTCTGGTGCTCTGAGATGTCTGGGAAAGGACTGTTGTGTGCATGGCTTCTGCTTCTTCAACTGATGTAGCTTTCATGGTCAACATTTCAGATATGCTTTCAAAAACCTGTACACCCGATTCCTGTGATGGTTGTTGCATTGATTTAAATTCTTTTCGAAAAGCTTTTGTATTCTTCTTTGTGAAAGGAGTAACATGAAGTTCTGATATAGCCTGTGACCGCATAGACTCTTTTACATCTTTCCCAGAACTTTGCCTATCTAGGGCTTGCACTGTGTAATCAAGTAACAAAAAAAAAAAAGTTAGTATCTACAGAACTTTACTGAGCCATGCTCTGAACAAAGTCATACAGCATGGAGAAAGAAAATGAATGATCTTCATTTGAAAACTCAGCATGCCAGATGCACTACGCTCTTTACAGGAAGAATATCCATACACAAATATGAATGACAAGTGATGCCTAGTCTAGTCATGCAGCTGATAAATAGTTGATGGTTTTTTCTTCTTTGACTTGACCGTTTCAATATGAGATGGCTTATCATGAAACCTTTTATGAGGTATTTTCCTGTTTTCTTCCCCCCCCCCCCCCTACAGAATAGGGTGAAAATACCTCAGTCAATGCTGTAACCATTACTTAATTCCAAGCTTAAAAAATCTGAACTTCTTCAGTAAGATTATCCTTATTCTAAACCTATGTCAAGATAGAAATTCACAGATCTCCAGGTATGTTAAACAGAAGAAATGAAAGTGGTTGGGTTATAGATGATAGGTATTATAAACATTAGCTGCTAAAGAAAAGGTGTGAAAGGAAGAAAGAATATTAGTGACAGTGTGAAAGTGCGGTATACAACAAACTGAATCCCTCTGAAGTAAAAATGGGGCTTTACCTTCTGCAGTCACTGTAAGTGTAGCTGTACAAGTTGTTTCTCCAGCACTATTTCTTGCCTTGCAAGAGTACTGGCCAGCATGCTCTAGAAAAGCATCTACTATTATGAGCATAACTGTGCCTGTAAACTCATCAAAGTGGAACACTAAGTCTTTTGCTGGAAGCATGAGCTGTTGATTATGAAACCACTGGATTTCTGGTTTAGGCATGCCAGATACTCTAGCTTGAAATCTGACTGTTTCCCCACTGCAGACCCTGCAGCATGAAATAGGCTGGATAAAGATGGGCCTTTGGCCAAAAGTCTCCTCCTTAAGTGAAACAGATGAAGAAACATGCCAGTGGGACTCTGCTGTAAGATCTTCAACCTTTTTAAATCCTGAAAAGAAGCATGCCAACTTTTAATTTCTTTCCCTACACTACATTTTCTCTCTCATTCAAGATTTTTTTTCTAACTATTACAGCAAGAACTATTCTAAAACATCATCTATAAAATCGCAAAAAGAAAAAAAAAAAAAAGGAAATAATTTATGGTTAAATAATAGCAAGAACAATATAAAACCTTAATAGCAAATTTTCCAGACAATATTTCTTCTTTAAAGCTTTGATCAGTATTTTATCAGATAGTATTTCTGGGTTATCCTTCAGGTCCCGTCCAACCCAGATTATTCTATATGTGAATGTGATTTTTTTTTTTCGTCTTCCCAAGACTAATACGCACCATTGTTAACATGTTTTCAAAACTTACTTTCAAAGTAATATTTTTCATACAAAAACTCTTACTAGGTTCTCCTCAAAATCAAATGCAAGAATGTGAAAGCAAAGCACTTTCATCAGAAAAGAAGGTATGTTTGGTTCATGCCAGATTCTAATAGCGGAGAGAATGAAAATGTGAAACGTATGAAACACTGAGAAACTGTGACGCATTTTGGAGACACACAAATGTGTTATGGACATTGTAAATTGTAGCAATGAGTTAAGTGAAAAGACAACGTGACAGACAAGCACTTACATCAGCTTTATGTTAAGATTAGTGTTGGAACACGACCTAAACATGATATCTTCTTTAACTGCACACTGTACCTTCCAACTTCAGGGTGGCAGTGCTTGTCACTTGGCCCACGGAGTTACTTGCTACAAAGGTGTAGGTGCCTTCATCCTCTGGATAAGCTTCAGCAATCTCCAGCTGGTAAGTGTCTTCAAACTGAGTCATTCTAAAGAAACGTGATGGCTTGATCTCTCTGTCTTTGCTATACCAAGAGACTTTCAGATCTGCTCAAGCAACAAAAAGAAGAAAAAGTATGTAAATAATGATATTAAACCAGTGAGTAAATACCATTTTTATATTTACGTCTGTTGGAAATCTTTAATCTCAAGTCTGTATTTGTGTTTGAATATGCCTTACATTAACTTTGGTAATATAGGATCAGTGGAAAGTTACATATGTATTAAGTTTTGATTTTACTCATCCTACATCATAGGATGCTGAGTAAAAATCATTTTTTCCTCTTTTTAAAGTATAAATTTTAAAATATTTTGCTACTGCTAGAAGTAAACCACATTTTAAAAAATTGATTCCTTTTTAAAACCTGACTGAATGTTTCAAAATCACTATGCGGAGCTGAGCAGTTTGAAGAAAATAAAATTGAATGCCTTTTTGCTAAGAATAGTTTCTTGACTTTTTTATTGAAATATCATAAGTTGCACATATTTCTTTAGAAAGATCTTGTTTTTGTACTTTTGTAGAAGTCCTAAATAAGATTTTGTATTACTTGTATAGATTCTTGTAGCCTTGGGAAAGAAAAGGAATGAAATATAAACTGTAAGCTTGACTCTTCATTTTGTGTTGTATTACATCATGAGTCAAGTATTTTCATGCAAATAATGTGATTACTGTTATCAGATGAAAGAGGAAGTGTTTTCAATAGCCAGCTGCAGTGTGTACCATTAAGCAATATATTTTCAGTAGCGTATTACCTAAGGTAACATAAAAGGTTTGTACAACACAAGTGAGCAGTACATAAATCCATTTTGAGACAGTATTTAATAAAGGGGATCTAGATGAAATAGATTTGTCTTTTTAAAAAGGGAAGAAAAAAAAAACAAGACCCTGGAGTTTGATGTTAAGTGATGGAAAAGCAATTTATGTATTGGTATAAATATATATATGTGGGCTAACAATGTATTATGGATTTTTACCTGTATCACTCTATTTTTAAAGTTTGAGTTTCATTTATCTTTAAATAATTATAAATCCTTCGGTATTGAAATGGGATCTTATTCTACATTTTGCAATGTGAATATTTTGTTACTTGACATACTCAAGACCATTTTTTGAAGTAAAGAAATATAATATTTTTTTAATTAACTTGGAAAGAATTACTTAAATTGTAGGATGGTTGTCTTTTTATCTAAAAGTAGAAAAGTTACTTAAGAAAAATTCTTAAAGAGACTTCAAGAGATGAGTAAATCCTTTCTATGCTAGGAAAAAAATGCAATGGCAGCTTACAGTTTGCAAAAATGCTTAGAAATATTAGGATGTCGATTTTGGTCTGTTTCTTCAATTAATTGATATGATACTGTGTGACACTGAAACCTTTGTCATATTCATTTAACAGGATAATGTTTTTCAGTCATGATGTTCTGTTTAGAAACTCCATGTTTGCACTGACACAGTTTTGCAACTTCTGTTAGCATGTGAGACTCCCAGGTTTCTGTAGACATATTTTTTGGTGTGTCAGATATGCTAAACACTTGTGTTAGAAATGCTTACTGTTTAAGACAATTTAAAATTTCCATGCTTGCTGCCATCTTTGACGCATGACTTAATTGCTGGTTGTCAGTGGGTAACATTTTACAGTGTGCATCCATCAAATAACTGTACCTCAAGGGAAAGACTGATTCAAGTCCGTATGCTGCAGCATGTTTTCCGAGTTCAAAATGAAAAATTCTAAGAGGTGAAAAGATGTACATTATTTCATCAAATTAAACCTACCTGTCCCTGTAACTCTGCACTGAAAACGAGCAGACTGTCCCTCGGATGTAACAGCATCACGAAGTGGTACTATGACAGCAGGTGGATACACTGGTACCTCTAGCTCAGGAGAAACAACTTCTGGGACTAAACAATAAGAAAAGTAAGTAATTTTTAAAGGCAAAGGTTAGGTGCAACTAAATGTTGACAATAAAATTTCACAGACATTGTGAAAATAGCAAACTCACTTTCCACTGAAAGTGAAGCTGAAGTTGTGGCAACTCCATAGTCATTTTTGGCTTCACATGTGTACACAGCTGAATCTTCAGGGAAAGTTTCAATCAGCAACAGCGTATATTCTTGAGCATCATGAAGAAATTTGCACTTGAAACCTGGAGAAAGCTGTTGATCATCTTTGTACCAGGAAACTTTGGGCTGGGGTTTCCCTGATATCACTGCACAGAAGCGGGCAGGTTTACCCGACTCCACGGTGGTTGGCTGTAGCTCCTGGATAATCCGAGGCGGCTCTGGAGCTGAATTTCGGAAGGTGGGGGAGAGGAGAGGGGGAACACAGGGGGGAAAGAGAGGGGGAGAGAAAGAGAGGGAGAGGGGGAGAGGGGAGAGAGAGAGAGAGAGAGACAGAGAGAGAGAGACAGAGAGACAGAGAGAGAGAGAGACAGAGAGACAGAGAGACAGAGAGAGAGAAAGAGAAAGAGAAGAGGGGTAGAAGAGGGAGAGAAATCTCATTACTGGTATTCATCATGGGTTCTAAAGCATTAGCAAACAAATTTTCAATTTTAATCTTTTTGTTCCCAGTCTTGCTTGCTTCAGAAAAAGTGCCCTTTTCCTTGATAGGAAGGGAATGATCTAGAAGCAACTGCCTTAACAGAAGTAGTTATGGTGACATACGTTTTGTCTCGGCAAAATGCCTCCAAAAATTGTTATGCTGGTCCTCCTGTGTATTTATCCGTATGAAAAAAAATTAGTTTTATTTAAACTTGATATTTTCCTGGTCTAAAATAATACAGAGTAAAAAAGGACTGTTACAGCATTTTCTTCAGCTATTTCATTAGAGCAAGAAATATCTATGTGCATGAGGCTTTTGTCAGTGTTCCAGAAATAAGACTTCCTTTTATTTTTTAATTTCAAGGTAAGATTTTGAGAAAAGTTATATAAATATCAGAAAAATACAGGGTAATAAATGAAGTCAAAGTGTTAGTTTTGGGTATACATACCATTCACATAGAGAACAACAGAACTCCTATTCCGTCCTGCAACAAAAGTATATTCTCCAGCATCAGAGTAAGTGGTTTCAGAGATGCTCATTCGATGAATTCTCCTTTCCACCACATAGCTATATCTTTCCTCATAATGGAAGTTGATCTCAATGCCATCCTTGTACCACTGTGGTTCAATGTCATCTTCATTAACTTCAAATTCAATTTCAGCTCTTTGTCTCTCAATGACCTACGAGCAAGTATTAGAAACATTACAAATAGCATTTGTTTTTCCAGGTTTTCTCAAACTCCAGTAAAACTTCCCAGAGGAAGGCTCTGGCCTTACAAACACTTTTTTTTTTTTTTTTTCTGGGAGGTTTTTCAGGTTAGATGTTGTCGCTGATTGAATTAGAATAATAAAGTTATAAAATATTTATTCTTCATTGTATGCTGTACCTGAATATCTTTACGGATGCTTCTGATTCGAACGTCACGACCTTCCACTATCAAATTGGCACTGGATGTGTTTCCACCTGCTACTACAGTGTACTGACCAGCATCAGACATTTTCGTGGAAGGAATGATAAGACGATGGACATATTTCTCCCGCTGAATTTTCATCCTAAGGAAACCAGAAAATAAAGTGAATACATTGTTTTCTGGGGGAAAACACATTTAGAAAGTCAAGATGGTGTAGAAGGAATAATTTACCTCTCACCAATCTGAAGTTCTTGTCCATCCTTCATCCACTGGACCTGAACATCAGGTTCTGAAATTTCACATTCAAAAATGGCTCTCTTCTTCTCCACAACCTTAATATCTTTAATATGCTTCCTAAATTCAATGTGACGAGCTGGAGGAAAGTGGAACAGAATGAGTGCCATTCTTCTATTTAACTCATTATAAGTCACTAAACATAGAAATCAAGAGACCAAATACCTTCCACATATAAAGTGGCTGATGAAGCTGCTTTTCCAGCAACAAAAGTGTATTCTGCAGCATCACCAAAATGCACATTCCTTATGGAGAGTGAGTGTGTGAGCTTCTTTGTTCGTATCTGGCATTTGTCAGTAGATTTTATTTCCACCCCATTCTTCAGCCATTTATATGAGATACCTTCATAGTTAACAGTAACTTCAAATGTGATTGTATCTTTCTCTTCAGCATTGATGTCTTCGAGCATGGAGGTAATTAAGATGGCTAAGAGAAAAAAGAAATGGGCATGGTTTAGGGTTTTTGCTTTTAACACACTTCAGCTGGTCCAGAGATGCTTAAAATCTTTGAGACAGGTTCTGATTTTTGGTGATATTTGAAGGAAAGCTTCAAGTTTCTGTGTTCAGAATGAATACTATAATTAAACTTCTCCAAACCTTCTGAATGATGTAAGAATCTAAAATTCATCTCCTGTGGAGATTTGACACTTAGGCACATTATCCTCTAAACAGAGGGATCAATAGCCTGACTTTCAATTTTGCAGCTCCTAGTCTCTTTCTAAAAATGTAGCTTAGGCTACTTAAGGTTATTTTAAAACCTCTCTGCAATATTCCTGGTTTTGTCTGAATTGCACCTGCATTACAATAAACTCTAGTATTGTTAACTGTAAAATATTCTGTTAATTTCATATTCACATACGTTTTACGGTCAGAGTTGCACTGACTCTGTCATTTCCACAGACAAACGTATATTCTGCAGAATCTTCACTGCTTGTGTTCATGATGTTCAGCTGATGGAGTTTCCCTTGGACCACTATTTTGAACTTTTCACTCATTTCAATCTCCACACCATTTTTCAACCAGACAGCAGGTACGTTGAAATGAGAAACTTCACATTGAAAAGAGGCAGTTTTGGTCTCAGGGATCTCAATACTTTTCATGGTCTTTGTGATGTGTATGGCTGTGGGTAAAAAAATAAAAAGAAAAAAGAAGAAGATTTTTTAAAAGGTCTGTATGTGTGCAGGAGTTAAAAAATAGAAAAAAGTCTACAAAGTGTGAGATCTGTTTTATGTGAGTTGTTAAAGCAACTCATATAGTTTCTTACCAACTTGCAATACTTACTTTCCACAAATAGTTTTGCTTTACACTCAAGTTGTCCAACAAAAGCGGTATATTCTCCAGCATCAGCAGGAGATATATTATGCAGCATCAGCTTGTGGACTTTCCTTTGTGATATCATCTTGTATTTATCGCTTTGTTTCAGCTCAACATTTTTGTGGAACCAGCGAACTGGTACAGTATCATGGGATACACTCAGTTCAAAGGAAACAACAGCATTTTCCAAAGCGGTCACATCCTTTGGCTTCTTGATAATCTTGACAGCTTAAGGAAGAAAGTTAGCAAGATTCAGAAATCTGCTTCATTTGAATCTCAAAACTCACATTAAAGCAAACACTCAAAATAGACTGACTTACTTTCAACATGAAGTCTGGCATTTGCTCCTATCTTTCCAAGCTTAAAGCTATAAACAGACTCATCAGTGACAACACAGTGCTTGATTTTCAGTGTGTGAATTGTTCCTTTCACTGAAATTTCATATTTGTCATTTGATTCAAGTTCAACACCATTTTTAATCCACAGAGCTCCTTTCACATCAGGGTGAGAAAGTTCTACGCTGAACACTGCCTCCTGTGTTTCTGTCACAGTCAAGTTCTTAAGAGTCTTCTTTATCTTAACAGCTGGAAAAAATATTTTAAAAAAATTAACAATGATCTAAAAAAAACACAACTGCGATTCTTCATTTTAAAATCTATTACCTTTGTATTGATTTATATAAGTTCTACCAAAGCGATGTGCTTGGAACACAAAAAGAAACCTCTACTTGTAGTATCCATGAGAACCAAATTTTCTTTATCTGATATATTTAATAAACAGCTAGAAAATAGTGAATTTCTATCAGCCAGACAGTATCTTAAATAAAATACGCTTTTTTTTAAAAAAAAAAATAGCATGCTAAATTCCAGAAGAGCAAGCTCCAAAATAATAAGTTTTGCTACCTCAGATAGAGTGTCATAATGTAACACTATTTTCAAAATGTGAAGCAAAATATGCTTGTATCTTAGGTTATGATTTTATTATTTATTTGCATTTAAATTAAAAAAAAAAAAAAAAACCTCAGACAAACTGACCTTCGACATGCAGTTTAGCAGACGTCTTTGAGCTTGCTATTTCATAGCTATATTCACCCATATCATCCATCTTTGTGGCAGGGATATTAAGCCTCCTCTTAACACCATCAGTTTCAGTACGATACTGATCTGTCTTGGGTAATGGTTTACCATTTTTTAGCCACTGGCCCTCTGATTCAGGATTTGCCACCTCACATTCAAAAACAGCTCTCTGGGACTCAGCTACAGTCAGGTCACTGAGAGGCTTTGAAATGGCACCTCCTGTTGGAAAGCAAAAGTACACCGTTTTTCTTGTTTGTTTTGGTTTTTTTTTTTGCTGTCATGCATCTTTTCAGTTTCCCCCATATAAAAATGCAATCATATGAAAATCAGGTACTAGACAGAATTCTTTGCCCCGATTTTCTACATGCCCATAGTCATTCTGAGCTCTGTGAAAAATCAAGAATAGAATGTGATGTGACCATCACAAAAATATGTTTTTCTATCCTAGTTACTCTTATTTACTGTTTTTATTATCAGCAGAGGCACACCAAATATTTAAGAAAAAAAAAATCCTTCTTACAATAATTATATTAAAAGCATGCTAAAATATTCCCTTCCAAGACTGTGATTTAGTATAACACAGTAAGGAAATAAAACACTTCCCTCACTGCTCTGTTGAATTCAGTTTGCAGAGATCACAAAAGATAAATGGAAGAACAATGAGAACATTAAGAGAAATTAAAGTCTAAGAAAATACAGAAACAGCACACAGATATTACACTTACAAAGAACAGTATTTTGAGCATTATTTCTAAATGCACAGTGAAATAAAAATCTTGGACTTTAAGCCTACTTACCTGCCACTATCAATTTTCCAGATGTTTTCTTCCCTCCAGCATAAAATACATATTCTCCTTCATCATCTTTCATCATTTTCACCACTGTCAATTTATATATTTTGCCATGTGCTTCAATTCTGTATTTAGGACCAGCCTTGATCTCTTGCCCTTTGAAATGCCAAATTACATCAATCCCTGAATGGGAGAGCTCAACCTCAAAAGATACATTCTGTGTTTCAGTGCAGGTGATGTCACGAAGACCTCTGATAATCTCAATTTCTATAAAAAATAAAAATAATACATAACACATGCATTAGTTTCTTCCATTATTTCGTATTGAAAAATTATTTCAAAATAAATTTGCCTCAAACAAAACTTACCTTCAACTGTGACGTTGCAACTTGTTTCGACTTTGCCAACCATTAACTTGTAATGTCCTTCATCTGATGCATGGGTTCTGGCAACCACTAGCCTCTGTTTAGTGCCTTTACACACAGCTTGTACACGTTCATCAGGCTTTATCTGATGATCATTTAGGTACCATTTGGAGGAAGTTACATCTGGTGCTGAAACTTTGCATTCAAGGATAGCCTTTGTTCCTTCAACTACATGAACATCTTTCAGAGGAACTATTATTTCCACACCTGCAAAGTTACAAAAATTACCATGAAAAAGCTATACCTTTAAAAAGTAATCATAACGAACCCAAAAGCAAACATGATTTCAAATCCACGGTAATGACTTACTGTACACAGTAACTTGTCCAGTGGTTGATAGTTCAAGACCAGGAATGCTGAAAGAGTAAGTTCCACTGTCTTCTTTAGTTGCATCTTCTATCAACAACATGTGTGACTGTTTATCCAACACAATATGAATACGATCACTTGACTGAATTTCATGACCATCTTTCATCCAGACACCTTCCACATTTTCTAGAGAGACCTTAACTTCAAGTTGTACAATATCTCCCTCACAGACTTTTTGATCAGTAAGTCCTTGAAGAATAGTCATGGGACGAGCTATGGAATGAAATGTAATGAATTAATCCTTGTAATAGAATACTGAATACTAAGGCAGTCTGGTATATAACAACTCTTACTAAAGAACATTTATTGTATACAGATGATATAAATATTAGATATGCTTACGCTTTATCTTTAGTTTGCAGTGAGTCCTCTTCCCATCAACAACAAAGCTATACTCTCCTTGATCATCTTTATTAACATCTTTAATAGTGAGGATTCGGCGACCACGACGGGATGCAAGCACATATTTATGATTGGAACTGAGTTCAACATCACCATGATACCATTTCCCCTCAATGTCTTCTGGGGAAACCTCACACTCAAGTTCCCCTGTGAAGGATTCTGGGACTTCAACGTCCTCAAGTTCTTTAATGAACATAACCACAGCACCTACAAGTAAAAATAATTATGTTCACGAATGAGTTTGATTAGATACCCATGATGAAAAAATTTCTTTTAAAATTGAACATATATACATACATGTGCACACATTGTGACCATTTTTTCATAAATGTATCTCAAAGCTTTCATACTGGATTCAAAAAATACAAAAGGGGTTTAAACATTTCCTAGCGCATTTGTCTGAACTGTTTTATTTCTTCTTGAAGTAGATTTCACTTTAAAAGTACTAAGTTCTATATATAAGTACTATAGTTCTAGGCTGTGTGCTTCTTACCTTCAACAATAAGCTTTGCAGTAGTTTTTACTGATTCATCTTCTACCAGAGCACAGCTGTAGTCGTCAGCATCAGACATTTCTACTGCTAGTACAGAAAGAAAATGAGCCTTTCTGTCTGAGTGCATCCTGTATTTTTCTCCAGAATGAATCTCAATTCCATTCTTAAACCATTTAACTTTGACGAAGGGTTCTGATGTCTCACATTCAAATGTTGCCATGGAGTCCTTCTCTTTAGCAACAACATCTTGTAAGTTCTGGATGAAGCTAATTAGCTGCTTGGCTGCAAAAACAATATGTAATGAATCAATAGGGCATTTGTCATATAGGCTTAACTAGAGTAATTGCTATAATAGGCAGCAGGATAAAAGTAAGAGATTTAAAATTACCTTGCACTAACAGGAAAGCATGGCTGGAAGTTTCACCAGCTATATTGACCGCTTTCACCATGATGCTGGCTGAATCATCAGAAGTCACATCTCTGATGACCAGTTCACAAACGTTATCTTCAGGCCAGTACCAGTATATACGATCAGTCCTTTCAATCTGCACACCATTTCTGAACCACTGGCACTCAGGGTCTGGTTTCCCCACCACTCTCACACGGAAGTGGGCATCTGTGCCTTGGGCTACAGTCTGGCTTTGAATTCGTTCAAATATCTTTGGAGCTTCCATACTTGGACTAAGTTCAACCTTCTCTGGTTTGAACGTTGGAATGGTGATTTTGCCTTCAGGAGGAAGGGCTTTCTTTTCTTCCTCTGGGATCTCTTTGGTCCAGTGAAGAAGTTCTTCTTTTGTCTTTTTTAGCATCTCCTCATATGATTCATCCTTCTTGCGAGACTTAAGTTCCACAGCAGTGATGGCTTCATAATAGCCCTCTTCTGTCCTTCGCTTGAACTTACTGCGCAGCTCTTCAGATTCCTCTGACAGTTTCTCATGTGTGATTCTTTCAGCTCTTTTAAGTTTCACTACCTCTTTGGTTGTTGCCTCAGCAGGCTTGTCTATCTTCTGTACCTCAAAGAGAAGTTTTCCAGGCTCTGTCACTACAGGTTCATGCCTGGGTTCAGGAGCCCGACGAAGAACTGATCTGAAGTCTTCTCTCTGCTGGATCTCAAGTTTCACCTTATGTTCAATAAAGCCTTCTGGATTCTCTGCAGTGACTTTCACCTCACCTGTGTCATATGATTTGCAGTCCACAATATCCAGGTAGTGGATTCCATCATAACGGAGTCTAAATCTTTTGCTCTTACGAATGAGCTGACTGTTAAGGTACCAGTTGACCTTGGGAAGAGGATAACCAGTGACACGGCAGCGGAATCGTGCTGTCTCACCCTCCAAGACTCTTGCAGGCTCAGGAACCAAAACAAGCTCTGGCTTTTGTTTCTCCTTTTGATCCATAGCAACTGCAGGAAGAGCACCTTCATGTGCCATTCTTTCTAACTCTTCAATTCGCTGCATTCCTCTTCTGCCTTCTGGCAATTGAGATTCTTCCACAAGACTTTTCTCATCCTTCACAATCAGGGTAGCAGATGTATGGTCTGTACCATATTTGTTAGTTGCCCTGCAAGTGATCACACCACTATCTCTGGAATAGGCTACTCCATAGTCCAGGCTACAGTACCCAAACTCATTAATCATCCGGAGTCTGTTAGCTGCTTCCAATGGTTTGCCATCATGCAACCATTCCACCACCATAGTTGGGTCACCAATTGGTGTAAGTCTGCACTCAAAATGCGCTGGTCCAAATTGCTTCAGCCTTAACGATGTGAGCTTCTTCTTAAAAAATGGTTTCTGTTGCTTTTCTTTGTCATAAAGATCCCCCTCCTCCCACTGCTCTTGACCATAACGCAAATGGAGGGGCTCTAACTCTGGTGCTGCAATCTCCTTGGCTTTGTAAGTCCCTTTTGGAATGATTAATCTTCTTTCTGGTTCTGGTTCAGCATGTTCAACTTCAACATTCACCTTGCACCTAGTAGTGTCCCGCCCAGCTTTGTTGATGGCAGTAGCTGTATACCATGCAGCATCTTGCCTGACGGTGGATTCAATTTTAAGGGCAGCGGCCCCTTTTGTTCCCTCAATCCTGAAATATTAAAACAATTACTTAAAAACTTTCTTCACATCTCCAAAATAAAGTCAAAGCTTCCAAAGGAAATTCACTGAAAGGATTATCTGATTATTTACATTTATTCATATTTGAGTGCAATGCATAATAATCAAATAGACAATGATATAAGATGCAGTGTTGAATCCAGTGGCAGTTTTGCTTGCAGAAGACTGCAAAACTGGAGACTGAGAAAGGTTCTTTAAGTCTCTGCTGTAAACTGGATTTGCATACTACAAAATATGCTGTTATACAACTCAGATAATATTGAGGGAAATCTAAAAAACATTTTCTGTCTCAGAGCTGTGCTGCAATGCAAAAGTTTTACTGGTTTCCGAAACCACTGGACTAAGCCCTCAGTTTATTCCTTCCGTGGAAGCAAAGATATTTAGTGTACCGTAGGAGGCACTTAGCATCTAACAGAACAGTGATTATTAACTGTTTTTACTATTAAAAACAAAATAATCAAAAAAACCCACGACAACTGCTTACTTTATTCTGGGATATTTGTGTGGTACAATGATGTCACTATTCTTCAACCACACAATGTCAGGATTAGGGTTGCCAGTTGCTTTCACAGACATGTGCAGTCTAGAGCCCTCTTTTACACTAACATTCTTGAGCCTTTCCACAAAGCGTGGTCTGACTAGATCCTCCTTAGCTGAAATAGAAAGGGAAAGTTATTATGAGAGGAAATGATTATAACCATTATTTTTAATAGGAAACATTATCAAGTCTCCAAATAACAGCATGTACAATAGATACCTTCCACAGACAGTGTGACTGTAACAGAAGCTTTGCCTGCCCTATTCTGAGCAATTACAGCCCATTCACCAGAGTCCTCAGGCATAGCAGGAACAATGATCAATGACTGGGTACCATCTTCTTTAATCACTATTTTATGGGTGTAATCATTAACCACTTGTTGACCTGCAGACACAAATGAATAAAAAAAAACATTGTACTCAAAATGTGTCTCAAGATGTTAAATGCTCATTAGATTTTTTAATATTATTCTTTTACATAAATAAGAACTGCATACCATTATGGAACCAATATGTCTCTGGCATAGGTCTGCCAACAACTTTTAAGTCAAATCTTGCTGTCTGCCCCTGTGAACATTTGACTGATGTAGGTTTCAGCACAAAAACTGGCTTATATAGTCTCTCTAGTTGTCCTTCATCAGTTTCATCTAATCTGCGTGCAGGAGAACGAGAAGGAGAGCTGCGGGCAGGAGAACGAGAAGGAGAGCGTGGAGAAATAGATCTGAAAGGAAAAGAGATACGTATGAATATGTCATATAGGAGTGTGCTGACATGGTAAACAAAGTTCAAATTTTGTCTTCAGGATAATATACTTTAAAGAGTTTTATCAATTTATCTATGTGAGAAATTGTGCAGTCATTTTATTTTTGAAGTAATTTTTATGGACAAATAACATGAGCATATGCCACACTAAGATAAATTTATTTTTTTCAGATACTGTAAAGTCACAGACGTAACCTATGTATTTTTGTGCACGTGTGTGCATATGTATATTATAGATGCCCCACCTCTGGAGATACTCAAGGCCAGGTTGGATGGGGCCCTGGACAGCTTAATTTATTGGTTGGCACCCTGTACAGCAGGGGGATTGTATCTTGAAGATCTTTAAGGTCCCTTTCAACCCAAGCCATTCTATGATTCTGTGAATATTGGATGAACATATGCTATTTCAAGGATAGGACTTAAGAGCTGCATGCAGTGCTAGAATTCCAAGTACAGATACTATTTTTCCCAAAACATAAGTGGGTTAAGAAAGATATATGGTTGCTGACGTCATAAATCTAACACCATAGCAAGATATATATGCAAAAGATGCTACTCTTGAGAGCTGCATAGCCTATTAAGAAAGCAAATCAGAAAAAAGGTTGGCACAGAAATCAGTACGAGCAATGGGAACAACATTTAGAACTTCTCTAGAGGCATGAAAGCTCCAATAACCTAAACTGTTTACCCATTGTGTAATGACTGTCTGAACAGGTTTCATTGCAGAAATTGAAGTCTCACGTAATATATATGACTGTGTACGTACCTGTATCTTCTCATAACTTCTGGTCCTGGCATATAACCTGGAGTTGCTGTGGGTGCAAGGGGCTCAACATACAGCTTTGCTGAGCAAATGGCATTTCCTTTCATGTTGCTGGCAAAGACTGTGTAGATTCCTTCATCTTCAGGTAAAACAACAGGCAAACGCAGACTGGCACTACCATCTTGCAGAACTTCCATGTGGTAGCGCTCCCCATGTCTTATGCGCTTACCATCTTTGTACCATGCAATCTGCATGGAAAGAAACAAGAATGCTGAGTGAGCTTTCCAGAAGACAAACATCTGGGAATAGACTGTACATACAACAAACTGCAAACTTCTGTTTTTCAGCTGATGTATTGTTCCAGCCCAGTAGTGGCGTTAACATTTTCTTATTTTGAGGAAAAATGTTAGATTTAAGTAACGTGTTTTCATAGAAGCATAAAAAATAAGTTTTGGTTTTACAGGGCTAGAAATAAAAATAAAGTCCATTGTGAGGGAGAGCAAAGTGATTTTTATCTTTTAATTTTTTTAAACTGTGCTCAATACCTGTGTGCATGCTAACTCATGCTCTGAAGCAAGATCTATTTCACTGGTGGAATTAAGGTGGATTAAGTCTAATCTATCAGTGAAATGACTAACCAATCTAACACTGCAGCATTAAGGGACAAAAGAAAAATCAGTTCGATATCATCAGATTGTGTTTCTAATAGATGTGCTGTTTTCTGTGCAAAATAAAAATTTGATACTGAGATGTTAAGGGAGTTTTCAAGTAGAGAAGTTTTTTATAAATAGACAAACATCATGCAGGTTTGGAGTACCTTTGGCAGTGGATATCCAGTTGTCTTACAATGGAAAGTAACACCAGTGCCTTCAAAGGTTCTGTAATTCTTTAATCTTAAATCAAATCCTGCTTCAGTTGCTTCAGATTCAGAAATATCAACCATCATCTCCTCTCCATCTTCCTCGAGGAGTTCATCTAAGGTTGTCTTAATAATTCTGAGTTCAATTTCCTTGATAAGTCTTTCTTCAAAAGAAGAAATGTGGAATTCCTATGTAGAAAAGCAGTGGCATTAGTTGAGTTGTGTGTGTCAAATAATGTAAAAAGAATTGACTTGCACTGGTAAAATTAAAAAAGATTTTAAACAGCTTGTCAGTATACAAAATAAGCAGCAAACATACCTCATCTTCCACAAAAGTTCTGACCACCACCGTATCTTTGGCCATTTTCTTCCTAATTAAGGCTTGTTCTTTTTCATATTCTTTATCAAAGTCACCATATGAAATAGGTGGGGCTACCTCAGCCACTTTAGGTTCCTGGACATATGCAGTCACTTGAGTTTGGTACATCATTTCTTGTTGGGATTTTATGTAGGCCTCATAATCAGCTAGGAATTAAAAACACATTAACTTTGATAAGTGCTTATAGTTTTCACTCTATTGAAATAGAGAACAAGTACAAACTTATTTTACTGAGGTTTTTTTGTATTTTTTGGTTGGTTGGTTTTTTGTTTTGACCGAAGTGAAGATGGTCTGTCTAGCCAATAAAATGCAAGTAGCAATAAAATCTGAAGACTAATGCCTTCAGATGAGCTTTTAAAAAGGTGAAAGTTTTATTTTGCAAGTGTGCTAGTTTTCAAAGTGGAAGCACTTTTAGTGACTGTACTTTCTACCTGACAGCTCTGTCTCCTTCAACCTCTTTTGCATTTCATAAGGACAACTGAAATTAACCTAAGCTAGCTTCTTTTCCTTTAATAGAATATATAAATTAAACTTTGCCCACATAACCCTGTGAAGGTCTGATGAAAACTTATTATGAATGCATATTTAACATTTCTATAGCTGCACATTCCAACAAAGAGCATATATCCTTCAAGAACCTTATGTCAAATACTCTGCATGCAGAAACTGAGCCACTAGCTAGAGCAGGTATTAGCACGCTCTCTTTATGCTTCTTGTACTGATCAAACTAAACTGCTAATAATTCGCAGCACAATTTAAAGTGCTTTTCTCTTTACAATGTACCTTCTTCTAGTAAGGAGACCGTTGCAGAAGCTTCTCCAAATTTGTTACGAATGACAATAGTGTATTCTCCGGCATCGTCGGCAAAGGTCATGGAAATTTCAAGTTTGCATTCCCCGGTTTCTCGTTTATAACTTACTTTGTATCTATAGAAAACAGAAGTACAAGCAGCCTTTTTTTACGACTTTACTTTCAGTAGTGATTCTCATCAGTTGCACAACTAACATTCATGAGAAAAAAAATATCAACTTTTGCAGGTAATTTTAACTCAGTGAATCTACTGAACAGCATAATAAGGTAACAGTACGCTCAGAGAAATGGGATGCAAAGAACAGAACTGAAATATCAGAGATCTACTTGGACAAAACAAAATACTATATGCCGTGTGCATATAGTTTATTCTAGTATGATATATTCCATGCTATAAATGTATATTTTTTCTCAACTGGAAAGCGTGTTGCTTTCTACAGACATTTTTGCAGAAAGAATGCAAACACTACACAGACAGTATTAAACAGATTTAAAATTTCTTCCTGATTTGTTTTCAAAGATTCATAGCATTTCTCATTTTACGATCTTCTGAATACTTATATTTTAAATTTCAGCAGACCTAGCATCACACAACAAGGTACGATCCTATGATTTTTACATAAATGAATGATGCTATATGAATGAAAGAAATTGGCTTAGCAGCAATAAGGGATCAAAATTATGTTACTGTCAATGACACATTCTTTAAAATCATGTTTAATTAGTTTTTTGCACATTAAATTACCTGTAGCCAGTCGTAAGAGGAACTCCACCTTTTTTCCAGAGGACATGTGGCTTTGGGTTGCCCCCTACTTGGCACTCAAAAATAATGCTCCCACCTTCAACTAATTTGTGTACTACAGGTTTTCTTATGAAGAAAGGAGGTACGGGTTCTCCCGATACTTCCTCGGCAGAGACATCTTCCATTACAACATCCTTTGTCTCCACATAGCTGGAACAAGATTACAGTGCAGATTGAATCATCAGATGTCAGATGAAGCTGTCATAAACAGAATGCAAGAAACTAATGACCACCATAGGAGCGGGCTGTTTAGGAGCGACTTTACCTTTTCTCTTCTGTAACAACCTTCTCAGAAATGGTTTCTCTAGTCTCAGTTTCTTCTGAAACTGAAAGGCAAATAAGATACAGTGAATTTTGATAATACTTTTGAATAGTGACTAAGCATTGAGTTTAGCAAACAAAGTGAGAGAAGGTTAAGTAGCATTTCTCAGAGGACCAGGTACTTGCACTGAGGGAGCTGTCAGCTCATAATGGGCTTTTTTTTTTTTTTTTTAAACATACATTCTTGCATTCCTGCCTCCGTACAGCCTTAGAGTGTAATTCCAGGAATATGTTTGACTTGACAGCTGACAAAATCTCAAAGTTCCACTATAAGTAACACGCAGTTAATAAAATGATAACCTCCCTTCAGTGATAGGTATACTTACCCTTCACATGCAAGTGGCAAGATGTGCTGACACTCCCAGCCTTATTGGTAGCAGTGCAGGTAAATCTTCCACTGTCTTCTGCAAAGGCTTCACGAATCACAAGGCGAGCAAGTCCTGCTTTGAAAGTGATCTGGAAGTCCATTGAGCTCTCTATCTTGTAGTCTTCCCTGTACCACGTCACAGTAGGCTGAGGGTGACCAGAGATATGGCACTCCAGAGTGACAGACTCACCTTCAGTCACAGTCTTATTTTTGAGACCCTGTATGACAAAAAAAGGAAAAAGAAAAATCACAGTCATTATATATTTTCACTACTAAACAGATATTTTAGATCGGATATTAGGAAAAACCTTCTCTTGGAAAGACTGATAAGGCATAAGAACAGGCTGCCCAGGGAGGTGGAGTCAATGTCCCCGGAGGTATTGACAAAGAGAGCAGATGTGACACTTGGGAACGTGGGTTAGTGGGCACGGTGCTGATGGGTTGACACAGTTGGACTAGATGATCTTAGCAGTCTTTTCCGACCTTAATGATTTTATGATTATATTATTTTAATAACTATAATATCTTGGAAATCTAATGACTATTTCAAAACAGTGTCTTATTCAATAGTATCCATGAAAAACAAGGCATTTTCCAAGGGAAGTATTTGAAACTAGATTTGGGATCTCTGAAAATTAAGAAGAACTTGCAGCATGATGTTTATGTAAATAAAGGAGAGTGATCTTTTCAGTGAAAAATATGAAATGACTTTATGTTAAATGACTGTGAACTCTCATCTTCACAACAGACATGCTTGACAGAGTAGTTTGTATATGGGATGAAGTGTATTATTACATAAAACCAAATTTTCATGGTCAAGATTTCAAAGATAAAAAAATCAGAATACAAAATGCATGAAAACACTGTGTAACAACCTTAATATACATAAAACTTACCCAGACTAAGGTGGGTGGAGTCACAGGAATTTCTGCAGGCACAGGAACTCTGGCAGTTTCTGTCACCTAGATTGTTCAAAAGCATGATTAATAAACATCTCACAGGCAAAGGATGAAAACAGCAGAATTAGGTAAGGAGAAATCTTTTTTTGCCTTAGATAAACATTAAATCCTTGGAAGAATTTGTGCAAAACAGTAGAGATAAAAGTCAGGCAAATGCTTTAGAAGGGAAAAAACTGGAAGGAGGAGATAATAACCAACTAGAATTTTAAGGTGAAAGTCAGTTAGAGTGACTGAAATTTGCTTAATGACGTACCTTTGCTTCACTCTCTTTCCGCAACAGCAGGTGATCCTCCCGCACTGCTTCACTTTTAATGCTTACATCCACCTCTTTTTTCGTCTCAACATCATAATGAGTTTTATAGGTCTCAGCGACCTCTGTGAAGGGAAACTGTGGAGGAGCTGACTCTGGTTTTATCTTGACTTCATGCGGCTTTAGCTGAGGTGGTTTCACAGGCTTGGTAATCTTTTGCGCAGCAGAAGTAGCAGATAACTCCTTTTCCAGAGTAGCCATGGCAGATCCTGCTATTGAAACCTATGGAAAAGAAGATAAAGGGTTACAGCTCTGTAATTCTCCTGTTGTCAGAGAAGGCATAGTATATTTCTCAAGCAGACTGCATACCCATCACTTGCTTCCCAAGTTACTTTGTTGACACCGCAAAGGCTACATATACAAAATTGTCTTCTAGTTTTAGATTGTAATAGTAGAATACTAGAAACACAAAATCCTTTTATTAGTTTTTAATGTAGAACTTTAACAATAAGATCATATGTGAAACTTCTGAAATGTCCTCTAAGTTTACTCACTTAAGATGTTAACTTTCTATTTTTACAATCTAGTAGATGTTGCAATAAACCATACCACTAATTATTTCAATAACAGTCATTAAGATACCCAAAGGGTTTTCAAAACGTTCTTGCAGTTGTAATAAGTTTGCATGCATAAACATGGAAAAAATCTATAAATATAAATTTTTAGGTAAGTTTATACAGTTTAATTATACTTGCAAAAAAATCTTCTCACTTTTAAAGTCCAGATAAAGAGAAAAATAGCGCTTGAAGGAGAATATTAATTAAGTGTAAATTTTAATACTATTTGAAAGAGTCAGAAGAATGGAAAGAATAATACTAAAAATGGATAATGTCATATTGCACAGTCCAGTTTTCAAAAGTTAGCTTTATATGAAGCAATCTGCAATGAAGGAAGGAGGCACTGCTATTAATGTGTGAGTGAAGTGATGCAAATAATAACCTTCATGAGTGACACTTCTGCTTTATAAAAAATGTGAATTGTATGGAAAGGGTTTCTGATTACACTGTCTAACAAAGTATTGAGGCTGCCTCCTTAAATAGATTCTAATCTTGCTTAAATGAGTAATAATTACAGGTCACATTTTAGCAGGTCGTGTGTGTTTACAGTGTTACTATTTATTAGTCAAACAAGATGATGAAAACAACTTTAGAGAGCATAAAACCTTTCACCTGGAGAAAGTACCATACCAGACTGGAAGAAAAAGCAAAATGGTGTGGGTTATTAGAACACAATATTCTCCTTACATACACCGTTTTTACTTCTTACCTCATACGTATGATCTGGTTTGGGAACAGCAATTTTGGAGACAGTGAAGTGAGGACTTGCTGTGCGGGGTCGCGGGTGTTCTATGTGGATTGTCTTCTCAATCTTGGCTTCTGTTTCTCTTTTAATCTACATGAGGCAATGAAAAGATTGTTGAGAATGTGATGCTGTTCTCTAAGCTGAAAAAGATCTCATTGAGACATAGTTTTTTGAAAATGATGGAATGGAAGCGAGTCTAACCTCTGTTGATACATGAACTTCCTTCTTTTCAGCAGCTGGAATATGTTTCTCAGGAGGAATGTAGACCGTTTTAACTTCTTTAGTAGCAACATGGTGTTCTGCTTGTGCCTCATGGTCTTTTACAGCATGCTCTTTATAGCCATATTCCAAAGTTTTGTGCTTGACATGAGTTTCATCTACTTGCTCTGTCTCCCAAGGTGATCTAACACGCGCCTGATCAACGGCTGCAACAACTGTAGCTACAGCTTCAGCCCTTTTTCCAGCTTCAATCTACGGATAATACAGGCAAAGTTTGTACAAACGCTCATCACTGTGTACTAAAGGCTTCCTTTTCTGGCAAATGCTTATAAACATATTGCTCAGTAAAAATTATTCAAGATAAAGAGATGGTGCATTCCAAACACAGATAAGCAAAAGTAATAAACTTTAAATGTGTTCACTCACAAATGCACTTCAGAGTCAGTAGATTCAAATATAGACTCATTTTCAAGCTTTACCTACACATATTCAGACTATAACTATACTTGATTGCTTTATACATGTCATTATTTCTATCCAAGTCCACTTTTAATACTTTATGGATGAATTTATTACTACTTGTCTCTGAGTACAACAGCTATATAAATGTACACAATTTTAAAGTCAATCTGCTCATCAACTCCATATAAAATCTAAGTGCTACTAAAAATGTGTGGAATGTGTCTGACATTTGACAAAAGTGTATTTACTAAGGAATACATTCACATAATAAAATTACCATATGCATATCTGTAAACTCCAAAGCTAATCTATTTTAAATGTCTTTACTAAAGAAGGAAAACTTGGCTTTCAGAGAAACTGGAAATAATATGTTTGTATCAAGAACTCTTTTATTCTCCTCTCTTTTCCTAACAGTTGATAAATAATGTCAGCTTCAATGTCATCAATGATATCAAAACCCAAACTTCTGCTGAGTCAGTCAACAGTAGACAATGGGATGTTTACTATTTACTGTCATATCTGGGTGTACTCCATAGCAACACAGCATATGAAATGTACACCTTATAGATAAGAAAAAAACCTACTGTCTTAAAATAAATTAATACAAGCAAGGCGAAGTAGTGTTTAGGTTACAGGAACCTCAGTTCTGTTTGCTGCAAATTTCAAAATCATTCCTTATACTAGCTTGAATTTGGCCCTCAGTTTATGCCTTCTAACAATTAATTTTAATCTCCTTGCACCCTGACTCCTTTGAGTCAGATTTGAATGTTAGAATCTTTAAATCATATTTTATAACAGCATTGTATAAATGGATATTTTACTGTTTCTAACAAAGCCTATTAATTTTAAGCAAAGGGTTTTGGCAATTCTCATCTGCAGATAAGAGATCCTATGCTATACTATGCTGGAAAAACTTTTCTACTGTGGTAAATCCTACTAGAACAAAGCAGAATCAACATGTATTTAGTTGCCAGAAATAACAAACTGGATAGAAGTGTACTGATGGTAAAGTTTGTGTGTCATGAAGAGCAATACAATCCAACGCTTAATTTACAGATGCTGTTTTGTCTGATAACGGTAAAATTGCAAGGACTGAGCTTGTAGAAAAGAGCACTGCAGATTCAGAAATTTCACTGAATTTGAAACAATTTGATCAAGTAAAGACTATTAGAAAGTCATTGTTAGAGAGTAAATTTTCACAGAGACATCTGATCTTAGTCTGAAAAGTGGCACTTTCTGTTAGGGTGGGACAAAAATCTTGGTATCACTAGAAAGTTAATAATTCATTCACATTGAATCTATTATTAGAAAATCATTCCACTTAACAGGCATAATATCAGGAAATAATTTAAATGCATCCTATTATACTCAAATAGCTCTTAAAAGGTGAGGTTTTCAGAGAAGGTAAGTTGTAACAGTGCATTTCACATCTGCCACAGCAGTATTCACCTGATCATAAGCTAGATGCATTTTTTCTTGCTTGGCTGTAATTTCTTCTCTAGTTCTGGACACTGTGACTGGTGCAATTATTTTCGGAACTACAGTAGTTTTCTTAGCTTCCTTTTTAATCTAATTGTTATAGCAGAAATAAAAGTTTCAGTTACATATGGTCTTGAAAAATATTTGAACAATGGGAAAATACATTGGATGGGAACACAGGAGGAGAATTAAAGGGTTACATCCTCGTGCACTGCAGACAGCTCTCTATTACGTGTAAGTATTGTTACACCTTAATACCTATTTAAGTAAAAGTAATACTTTTTTAAAAAGTTAAAATGCATTTCAGGAGTCAGACAGTCCATTCCAAAAGTCAGTCCAAAACTATGGGCATCTCATTAATGAAAACAATTAGGAGAGAAAGACAGGGTGGTGTAACACAGTCTAATTAATGAGAGTTTGTAATGAGGTTTGTAAGTGAAATCAATCTTAGAAAGAAATGACCCGGGAATGTACTATTAGTATTTGCTCAGGGAAACAAAAGTTTTGCTAAGAATAGAGGATAACAAGACAAACATGGCCATTACAGTGCCAATCACCTTTTCATGGCTTATGCTCACACGTTCTTGTTTGGTTGCAATTCCTTCTTTACTTTTTGATATTAAGACTGGAGCTTTAGGTTTATCAGTGGTAATCACCACCTTTGGTACAGAGGGTTTCACATCTTCCCTTCTTATCTAGTTTTATAGTGAAGAAAAATAATAGCAATCAATTACATCTGTCACCAAAATTTTTCAGGAAAGCAGGTCAGGATTTCAGATTATATATCAGTAAGAGAAAAACACCACCTCTGAAATGAGATAACTCCTCTGTACAGATCAAGCGGTAGCCTATCTTATATGCTAGCTGAACCAAGTCCATTCAAAGTCCATACATTGCATTAAACTATACGTGAATTAAAGAATCTGTCCGCTTCTGAGTTAATTGAAACATATCAGTGCTGTTTTGTAGAGACAGTAGATTTAAAAACGTGAGTTACTGATTCAATTTACTTCCATCAGTTGATGAAACTATTCCATTAATTCAAGGAAAAATGATTCCAGAATTTGATCTGTCCGATGCATTCAGTTTTCATGTAAATATGAGCTTCATTAAATCAAGCTCCAGATATAAATATTATTGTATGCTGATAATTACCTTCACAATTTATCTTCATAAATCTACCTCCAGATGAAAAGCAAAGGTAGTAAATCATCAGATTAAATTCTGAGAATGCTAGCAACAAAAGCCATAATGCTTATAGAAACCACAGGAAAGGAGGCTACATTATTTCCCTGTAGACAGATCCACTATGAATTCAGCAGATTTGTACCTCCAATCCTGGACCGATGTCAGGAATAAGTCACTTTATAAAATTTTGATTTTATAATCTCATCTTCATAAAAATGCAAAGGGAAGAAGCAGAGGACACGTGATGAAGAATGAAGTATTTATAAGGTTATTAGAGTATAAAAATGAGTTAAATATCTATATCAGATTTACTCACTTGTTCATGAGAAACATGTACTTGCTCATGTCGGGCTGATATTTCTTCTCTAGCTGTTGATATTCTCTCTTGTTCTTTGGCTTTGTCTGTGGCAATTATTACTGTAGGTACTGGAGTTTTCTCTGGTTCTTTTCTTACCTGAATGTTTACAAACAAGGAAGTTTAAATTATGTATTGTTCAAAATATAAGGAATGTGATTTTCTGTAAGTTTGGGAAAGAGAATACAAGCAAAATGGATGCAAAACATCAAAATCTGATTTTCAAAATCATCTAGCATGAAAGCTAACAACATAAACACTGTTTCTATACATTTAGCATTAAAATAAAACACTGGAAAAATGTTTGCTTTGCTACTGAAAAGCAGTAATAATAAAAGAAATGGAGTCTGAGAAAAACTGTTCTGCGTCATAATGAGTTTAGAAAAGTGAAGGATACTAAAACTACGTTTTAGGTAAATTTCATTTTGCCAGGAAGTTCTCATGAACATGTGATTTTCTGCTCAGGTGGATTTCTGTTTCTCAGTACTCTAAGTTACAGCTTCTTTCTTAGACATTCTAGTATATAGGTATTTAAATGTAACATTTATCTACAAAAGTTGGTCTTCCATTAAATCAAATTAATCTTACAAAACACATTCTAAAATAACCTGTATCTCAGACACCTCCTGGTATTTTCAAAATGGCTTTCAATGCAGAGTGAGTTTTTCCCACTTGTTCTCACCCACAGTGCTTCCAACAAACAAAGCAGGCTGCAAATAGCAAGCTTAGAAATAAAGTATTAAAAAAAAGAAAAAAAAAAACAAAACAAAACTAAGAGATATTTCTTATGTCACTTCTAAAATGTAAACCAGCATGAAACAAGTAAACAATGGGGTTTTTCTAAGTTAAATTTTCAGAATTTTAGATATCACATCCTTAAATACTAACTGTGGAAACGAAATTTAAAAAAGAAGACATCACCAAGGAGGGGTAGGAGAATGATAGCAATGTAAACTGGAAGAGTGAACAGGGTATCAAATGAGAAGATAGTTTTTTTTCCAGATGTCGTTCATATTTTTCATAGGTTGTCCATCATACGTTTGATTTTTTTAAAAAACAAGATAGGGTATGAAAATTACGGGTAACATCTGTATTCACCTTTTCACGAGAGATGTGCCTTTGTTCTTGTGAAGTAACAATTCCTTCTCTAGTTCTTGATATTACTGTTTGTTTTGTAGCTTTATCACTGGTAACTAGTACCGTTGCCTCCTTTCTCATCTGATTTTTATAGTAACAGACAAACAAAAGACCAAAGCCTTAAAATTCAGTTTAACAAATCATGAAAAGAGAAGAAGGGAAAATAAGAAAGGAATGCAAATCAAGGGAAAACATTCCAGAAGAGTTATTTTATCCCTTGTGGGGAAAGTATAAACGAGGTATTAGATGGAAAAGTTCATCAGTGTAAGAAAAATGTTAGAAAGTAACTGACACGGGAGAATTTAGGAACACTTTCATAGACAGCATTCTTAAACTTGGAAAAAGTTTAAGAATAATTAGTTCAATCCCACTATGAAGAGAAGTGGTGGCGTAAGTAATCCACAAGCATTCCTTTAAAGGGAAGATGTTCTGTATGAGTTATGCATGCTTTTGTGGTGAACGGTTTGTTAATTCCTCACATTAAATCAAGCCTTGCTTGCATGTAGGATGAAGAGATAAAGGGGAAATTAAAGAATGTCTGTGCTCTACTTCTACCTGCTCCTGAACAGGCTGAACATGGACTGCAGTCATTGCTGTCCTTTTAGCAGCTTGCTCTACAACACTTGGAGCTGGTTCTCTCACCATGGCTTGATCCACAGCAGCAACAACCGTAGCAACAGCTGCTGTTTTTTCACTGTCCCTTCTCACCTACATTAGTCACATCAAAAAACATTTTTTCGTATTATGCATACACACAGAAGAAGCACAAAACAAGTACACAGACAGAATGTTGCAGTCCAGCATTTAAACATTTGCAGAACTCTTTCAACTAAAGTTACACGCAAGTCTTTACAACATTTAGCTCATCTATTCAGCAGTAGTACATCCACAGACAGAGCAAAAACAGTATTCTTTCCAAAAATAGACTTTACCTCTTTAGCAGCAGCTGCAACCTCACCAGCAGCGGCACCACTAATAGTAACTTGTTCTTGCAGCCCGTATCTCCCTTCCCATCTTTCTTCAGTTGTTATTTCAGTACCACTTGTGGATAATCTGGTTTCCTTCATCTGGGCTTCAGCGGTTGCAGAATATCCTTCCTGCCTCCAAGGAGGAAGGACTTCAGCCCCAGGTGTCACTACCTGTGCTTTACGGATTGGTGATGGAGATTTCACTGGTCGAATAGGAGAGGTAGAGATTCTTCCAGCAGGAGAAACGGACCTAATGAAAATATATATAGAATTCATGTAGTGTCATGACTATACTATAAAGAACATTGGCCTGAACTTGAATTCTTTCCCCCTTTGGAAGAACTACTAAGCCCTGAAGATACGTTTTGAAAGGCTTGTTAGGTGTTCTATTTGAAAGTTACATTTATCTACTTTAGTATACGCCTTAAATTTTTTTGTGTGCTTTGTTTGTTTTCATACTCATCTGTGTAACCTATAGCTCAGATTCCCAAATTGAAATAAAGGTAAATGTAAAAGTGCATTTCACACAAGTACATACATTTAAATACAAAAATATATAATTAGTCTCCAATTCCTCTGTCTTCATTCTCCCAATAATGATACAAAAGGCATTTTTCAATATACTTACATAGGCTTTCTAACTTTTTTCTACTTTTGCAAGGAATTATGTTATGTTGCATTTCTCAGATAATGGTCATGAATACTGCACCACTGCAGCAATAGGTGGCAGCAGCATCACATTAACTTTAAGATTTATTTTTCTGACATAATGCAGACCTAAAAATGGTTTGACTAGCACAGGAGAATGAGACTTCTAGTTCCATGTACACTCAAGATGGCACTACTGAGTTACTCTTTCACCTTGATATCGCTAATTACTACCAATTCATTTCTGTCTGCGCTGTTAATTACCGTCAGTAGCCAAAACTCATCAGCACATCTAGTAATGGCAATTTAGTTGAGGCTTTGCAGAGCTTGAACACGTTGCTTCCCTAATGCTTGTGCTTCAGAATGCTGGGACCACAGGAAAAACTATTAAAAAATAGTTAACTATTAAAAAATAGTTTGTAAGAAAAACTTACAAAACTATTGCCTCTTTCCCTGTCTGTCATGAAACTATCACGATCTTCCAGTCCACAGGTCCTGCTCTTCAAATTACTCACTTTCCCTCTCAAAATCCTTTACATACGATTTGCAGTCATAACAAGCACATACATAGAACATGGGTGGTGACACACTGGTACAGGCAGGCCAGAGAAATCATGGAAGAACCATTCCTGGAGGAGTTCAAGGCCAGGTTTGATGGGAACCTGGGCAATCTGACTGGATGGTTAGCAATTCTGCCGGCAGCAGGGAATTTGAACTGGGTGAGCAGTAAGATTCCTTGGCTACCTAAGCCATTCTGTGATTCTATGACTAACCTGTGTTCACCATTTTCAAATAGTCTTCCATTCTGTTTGCCACCCATCAAAGTCATTTTTCTTTTCTCTGTTTGTATAAAATATTCATAAAGGGGGAACTGCTCTGTTGTTTTTTTCTGTTTCATCATGCACTTGGAGCTTTGAGTGCTATTTTGATTGTATATAAAACAATCAAATGGGATTCATTGTGTAAAGGATTTTCTTCCATATGGGACAGAAAATTTACAGACGAGAATCACACACTTCTTTTTCAGCAGTGGCAAATATAGTACACTACATTTCAGAATCAGAATAAATTTGTGGTACCAAGTCAGTGCATTCTTTCATTTTATACTATAGTCTCATTCTGCAGTATTAAAGCTGTATATTGAAAGAGTGATACTGTTTGAAAGATGTTTACCTTACTGGTGAGGGTGTTGGTGCTCTGACATGTCTTACAGGTGATGGTGATTGTCTTACAGGTGATGGTGACTGCTGTCGTGCCATTTGAGCTTTTGCAGTAATTACTGGTGGAGTTGGTGATTTTGATGTAGGTCTAGGAGGCATTCGTGGAGGTGCTTTGTGTGGGAGCTGTTGGGCTGTTGCACCTTCTATGACCATTTCAACACTTGTAAGTGATCTGGCATCAAAGTGGGCTTCAATCTTCTGCAATGAAACCAAGAAAACAAATCTGAGATACTGTACACTTAATCATCCCCACTGAAGTTTTATATTACTTGTTTCTGAAATTTATACCTTTTCAATTCTGGCTTGTCTTGTTTGTGAAATCTGAGCAGTCGAAACAATTGTTTTTGTCTTTTTAGCAGGAACGGCTTCTTCTTCACCTTTTGAAAGAGAAAATATAGTCAGGAGAATATGCCAATAAACATGCAGTTGCAGACATAAATGAGTACTCAATCTATATACAAGTGTATATAAACAACAGAGAAAGAGTGAAGCAGCAAATGATTTTCCTGCAACATCTGTACACAAATAATTATGAAAACAGTTGAAATAACGTTTATCTTTTCTGCATTACTATGTTATTAGAAGAGAATTAATAAATAAATATAAACACATTTATTTTTGATTGGAGAATCAAGTCCTGGATCCCCAATGACTAAACATACGATCTGGAAGTCTGACCGAGGTAAAACCCAGTAGAAACTTCTTTGGGTAGAATGATTTACTGCTACAGTTCTCTGCTAAGCAGTCTTCATTCTTACCAAGCTAACTTACAAGACCACATACAGTTACATAGTCCCATATACATATGTTACCAAAGTCAGCTTACAAATATAACCTTACGAAATACCGAACAAATTAAGAATAACAGAAACCATTCCACACTTGTTTCTGTCTACTGTATACTCAGTTTAAAAAAGACTTGTGGTGAATCATGGGTCTTTTTAAAATTTCAGACAAAACCTTTGACAAATTCCACCGGAGAGAATGATTTTTCAGAGGAAGTTAATAACTCTTTTAAGAGTCAAAATACCACTAATATAACTATGATGTAGTTGTATAAATATTGTATCTTTACAACAGTGCATAGTCTTATGTTCATGGCTTGTAAATCTAGCTCCATTACCTTGAATCAGCAGTTCAGCTGTTGAAGTAGCACGTCCCACATTATTTGTGGCATTTACTGAATAAGTGCCGGAGTCTTCAGGATATGCTTCTGCAATTATTAGGCTGTAAAGGTCTCCTTCTTGTAAAATTTGAAAATCGGGGGAGCTTTGGATTTCTACTCCATCCCGATAAAACTTCACCACAGGTGTAGGGATTCCAGTCACTCTCACATCAAGTCGAACTTGACTTCCCTGCCTTGCAGTCATGCTCTGTAGTCGTTGTGAAAAGTTTGGTGGTGCAGTTCCAGCTGCAATTTTATTGAAAAGTAGAAAAGTAATAAGAAGAATTGTTAAACAGAACTGTTAGAACTAGATATTTTCTCTAACACTAACTCTAAATGAGTTATCGAGCTAAACATCATTGAGATTTCCTTTCTGCAGAACTCCATCCTTCTTTAATGACTGGTTTGACTGCAGCCAGTGTGACAGATCAGACAAGTAGCAGTATGTACAGAGATAGGCCAGAAATTTGTAACTGTGAATAAAAGTTTATGAAATGAAGATTATATGTTAAAGTGTGAAGCATGTTACTAGTAATTATTTGTGAATATAAAGCAGCCTAGACTTCATCTTATATGAGAATATTCATTATTATTATTCATTTCTTTGTTCATCACGTACTATAAATTTAAACCTTTTCAACACCTGTAACACTTCTGCTATTGCTCTTTTCTCACATTATTACTAGAGAGAAACACTTTTATTGAGTCACCAGGTACCTGTAACAAGTAGCTCAGCAGTACTAGTTGCTTGCCCAGATCCATTGGTGGCTTGTATGGTATATCTTCCACTGTTTGCTTCTGTCACGGAGGGGATCACTAGTTTAGCGCGGCCATCACTAAACGAGATCTGCACTCCGGGCAGAGTTGCAGCAGAGAGAACCTGGCCATCCCGATACCAGCTCACCTCAGGAACTGGGAAACCTAGAGAAAACAAAAGACAAAATGATTTTTGCTTGATACGCACTTCCAGGTCAGATGCCATTTTCTCAGTCTGTCCCTCTGCTGCCATCTATCACATGGCAACAAAATGTAACAGAACAGTGATGAAAATGTTCAACGTCTACTGCCATACCACCACAATCTGCCTCTGACATCTATAGACAACAGAATAAAATAGGAAGCTGTACTTTCAGAGAAGCCCTTGAACTTGATCATGTATACATGCCTAAACTGGAAAATATTGTCATGGGCCCAGACTTATGATTATATTTCCAGTAACATAGTGATAAAAGAACTCCTTGTTAGAAGTGAGTTTAAAACATGGTAGTTTAAAGAACAATAGTATAAGCACAGTAGCAACTGCACTTAGGAAATTGCTTGAATAAAGAATGGATTGTACTGTTTGGCAGCATATATGAAAATTATGAGGATGAACTGATGCAAGATGATTGTTGCAACTGATGCAAGATGATTATTTGCTAGTGTCTAAGTAGTAATGTTTATTGCTAGCAAAATTATCCAATTTAATAAGAGACAAAATAAATTAGATTCTCCAGTCAGCTATTACAATCAGCTGATCTATTGTAGTTCAAATATAACTGTATTTTGTTGTCAAGCTCAAAAACATGATTCTTTTGGTCAGAAGAGCTCCACCTACGTCTGCATTTGGTTCTTCTCAGCTTGAAGTGGTGATCTTATGTTCCTGATGGAAACTCTCTTCCCAGTATTCAACTTAGTAACTTTATTGAGAAACCAAAACACTTTTGATAAACTAGCAATTTTATTTATTTTTAATGAGCTTCTCAAGGGGAGCAGCTACTTTAAACAGACAGTTCCAGAGCAAAATCTTTTCTTGATCTGGAACATCAGTTCTCCAAAATTAAAATCTGGGCATATTTACTTCATAGACTTCTTCGCTTAAGTGAAAACACTACAAATTGAGTCAGGAATGAAAGACTGCAATTATTACTGCTGCTCTAATTCTCCCATTTCCACTCTCCGTTGTTTGGAAATCTCTAGGACCACAGAACTTAGATTCCTTTATGGATAAATCCTCTTATAAATGTATTATTTTGGGTTTTAATGTGTCAGGATAATGACTGCTTGAGAATAAAATGAAAGAGAAGCTGAGATATGTATTTGGAAGCTTTTACTCAATGTTTGTAGTCACACCAGATGGTTAGAAAAGTTTCAGGTTTTACTCACAGCTGAAAAACTAAGTACATATGTAGAATACAAACACTGAGAGAATTAGGTTAGTATTAAAAGAGTTTAGAAGTCTAAAAGGTAAAAGTAGACTTAAGCATTGCTAATTTCAAAAATGGAAGTTATTAAATAGCTGTGATAGGGATAGTATAATGCAATTTTGAACTACAAGTACAGGACAATTTGGGCATTATCACTGTAAACATAGCCTCTCCAGCAGATCTCACTGATTTGATCCTAGCTATGCGTTCTAAATTTCTGCATATCACTTTCAAGACATCCTAAGCTAAGCAACTGAGAATTACATAGCTGATAGTGAATTGCTTGAAATGTTGCCAGCATCATTTATTTTCTTTGTCCAGTGTCATATGATGATTACTGAACACAGATTGGTGCACTAGGTTGAACAGGGCATACATTAAAAAAGAAAAAAGAGGCTATTTGGACATCTCAAACTATTGTGTTCAAGAGATTTGAAGTTAGAAGTCATTCGAATAATCTGAACACAAGTACCGTCCCATAAAGCTAGGGACCAAATTACACAGTCTTCAGATTATCACTATTAATGAGAGATTTACTTTTATACATGACTTAAATTCTAACTACTGAAAAATTATTTTTCATTTGAAAATTACTCAAATTTTTTGAGTTAATTGACAAAAAGAAGAACATGAATCTAAAGTTTCCGCAAGTTAGTGTTTAAGAAATTGAATTCTACTAAATTGTCCTGGCAATAATGTAAATGTTGGGACCTGCCAATCTATGCAAAATCTATGATTCTTTCAACAATATGTAGAGTGTAAAATCTGGCTTGCATCGGGTAATACATCAAAAATTCACTTACGTGGAAACATAAAGATGGGCACAGTTCTAACACCAGCAGCACTGCAAACCTTATAGACAGTGATGTGCTATCTCATGTCCTCTCAGTCATTGCTCACCCACTAGGGCTACCACTTGATTATTTACCACCTGCTCTAGAATTTACTGTTTTTGAATCATGGTTATTAAATGATCTGAGTTTTCCGAGTGTACGGGGAGATATTGGGTATTTTTATCAACTATCAGAGCTTCACATCATGTCACTTGATACACAATCTGACACAATATAGTTCATTTTTTTCCAGTTACAGACTGCAAAATTGCATCACAAGTGGTTGCTGAGACCATGTCGGTACCCCTACATAAAGTAAACTCTTCACGTTCAAATGGCAGCTCTGTATTAATACTTGTATATAAAGGGCAACGTTATCAGACATAAACAGAAAGCTTGAGTTTCAATTTCAAAACCATTAATGAGTTATGGAAAAAACCAAACTATATAGCAGAAATAAAGCTTGGTAGTCCATTATTTATGCAGTTAGATCAAGAAATAAAGCTTTCACTTTTTTATCTATTGGAAAAACTAAAACACTGTCATATCTGTCAGTCTTGGTGGATTTCTGTGGTGTAGGAAAGATAAAGAGTCTTACAATATGAGGTGAATAAAAGCTGACAAGAAATATTCTCACATAAGACTTGGTACTAAACTATACCATATTTACCATAATTTTAAACAGGTAAAAAAACCTTAAAGTAGGAAATCAAGTTCCCTTCCTAAGAACTTATTAGTATTCACATAAATGAAATGAGTTGAAATCACACGTTGAGAAGTAGCACTAGCAATCTTATTAAGTTTGATTGCAAATATCTCTCTGTAAGGGTCAGTGAATTTGTTTGAAATTAAATTTTCAACTGAAAATTGAAATGCATAGACAACAAGGCAATTAACTGAAGAAGAGAGAACCAAATAGAAGAATATGGCAAGAAAAAATTATTATGGATGTAGTCTACAGAAATAGAGGTGTTCAAATGTCTTCTGTGAACTAGAGCTCACCAAAATGTCCAAGTGATGAACCACAGTGGACCGCAGATGTCAGCGCTTTATAGATGGACAGATCATGTGTTCGCACCTGTCACAGAGCATCTGGGTAGTTCTAGACTCAGAAGAATTTTTTATGGTATGTGGCTTATCATATTGTTAATGCCTCTAAGACGGTATAATTCCCTCAGCAAGAACATGTGCCATTTCTCCTTAGTCACTGCTGAGGTCAGAGACACGCTTAGAACAGGGTATTGGTTCTATGAAACCTGGTCTCAGGGTTTACATGTTGAGGGTCTTGGGTTTTTTCTACATTTTAGGGTATTTTGTGAGTAGAATGGCAAAATGAAATATCCTTTAAAATGTGGTGACATCTTTAAATTTCAGCAACAACTGTGAAGTTCTATTCATCCAGCCTTGTATTACAATCATGATAACCATATGCTTCTACTATCTGGCTAACCAGATGGACAACATACACCTATATGTCATGATTTTAATTTTGGAGTTCTGGCAGAGATTAAGTAAACTCAAGGACACACAGAGAGAAATGCAGCTTAGCCAGAAAAATAAAAGGGTTAGCATCACATCAATGAAAATCTGGCTTTGCTTTTGTGCCTGTGCTCCTCATTCCAGCTCGTTATCATCCAAAAAAGATTACCCTTTCTGCATTGATATGAGGGTCTCTAATTAGCACAGTATGCATTTTTATCTAGATACCATTCTTTATGCTGTTTTCCCTATTTTTGATGATTGTAACATACATGAGAACTTAACACAAATCTCACTGGCAGGATGACTGGCTATTTCCTCGGAGCCATCTTAACTTTATGCAGAATGTTTGTGAAAACCTGACAGCACCTCACAGCGTTGACCACCACTGCTTGAATTCTGGTCATTCTGCACATTCAGCTCTCAACATTATCCATTCAGATTATGAGCTATGCAAAGTGTTTTCATTTGTTTTCCACAGCATAAATGTTACCAATAACAACAAAAATTAATCTTGCAAGAATAAATCAAAACCTTACCACTAATATGAGCCTCAAAGGTTGCAGCACTACCCTCCAGTGCCACAACACTTTGTAACGGCTGCGTAAATGTTGGTGCTTTCGTTGTCATCTTTACAGGCACTCTGAAAACAACAAGAACATGATTAGAAATCACTGGTCATTTTGTTACTATACACACATCCTTCTTGTTGGTTTTTAGGAATATCTGTAATTAATTGTATTAATTCATTCCTAGTTTTAAATCACATTGACCCAGTGAAATGAGAAGAATGTAGATTTTTACAAGGTTGTGTAGCGAGTTAATCTTAGAGCACACTTAACTGAGTTGGATGTGAAACATATTTAGTACAGCTATGAATTGGCATTACAAATATGCAGCAGGAGAAAAAGTTCCACTTGACTCACTGCATGACCTTGAACAGGTCATCTAATCTCTATTTTTCCATTAATCTCCTTTACCTAAAGAGAAAACAATCTCTGTGTAAAAGTTCTTTGGAAGGATCTGAAAATATTTTGGTATTGCGAATTATTTGCATCCTCCATTGGGAAGATAACTAGGTCAGTAAGCAGCTATTTAAAATGTGAATGTCTACTATCTATTTTAATAATCAAAAGTTGCCAGGAGGCTCTCTTTTAAAGGCAATCTGCAAGTAAGGAATAATTTCATTTTACACAGAATCATACTGGCATTATATAGATGCAGATAAAATTCTATTCTTTCTTAGAGAGTATCTCAGTGGAATTTTGAATATGGGGAGACAACCACCTTCGAAATGTGAGCTAGGGTATAAGGTAGCCGCTGACACTGATGGTTTGAACAACTGCAGACCCATGTGAAATCACAAAGAAAAATGGTTTGTCTTCTCTTATGAGACAAGATCCTACTCTGAAATTGCGCACTGTCACTAAAAAGGCTTCTGCATTAGAAGTATTTTACGTTTGCTTGAAACTATTTAGGTAGTGATGTTGAATTTAAACTCAAGGCTTTAAATATGCAGCTTTTAAAAACTTAGCTAGTATCTTCTTAATAGTGTCATTCACATAGTAAATTAAAGTTACATTTTTTTCTCATTAAAAAAAAAAAAAACCAACTTCCCATGAGTGTATCATGTTCTACTAACAAAAAGTTAATTTCATAACCCTTTCAAACTCATTTCTCTTACATAGATTTCTGGTGCTCACTTTGGCTTTTGAACTTGATTATACGTCAGTTCCAGGCTTAAAAACTAATGAGAAGATGAAGCGCCTTTCAAAATTATTTTACTCCACCTTTACTCCACAAAATTTACTCCACCTTTCAAAGGTGTGGAAATTCTTCAGAAGAACTCTCATTGAAATTCAGGTCTGATCTGATCATAAAAAAAGTGGAGGGACAGAATGAGATATTCTGCAGGAATTCTGAGCTGTTTTTTATTGCCTTTATCTGGATACTTGTTCAAACTTGGAAGAGGAACAGCCTTTTAACATAGTTTACAGTTTCATGGGGGAAAATATGACCAAATTTCATCCTAAAACAACATCAGTTCTCTGAATGGCATTTGAAGAAAAATTCCTCTCGTGTAATTCACTGAGATCTACTTCAGCTGTAAGTTTTAATGCTCAGATAATATACATGAAAATAATCTTTTAAGTATTTAAACATTGTGAAATATTATAATTTTCAGACATCAGAATAGATTATTAATCATTTAAGTACACATAAAATTCATGTATTTCATTTGTCAAGGGGAATTTTGATGTTGAAGATCTGATCTTATAAGGCTTTTTTGTATAATTAGGATTGAAAGTATGCATCTGAAATGTCATGTTCCAGAAATAACCTTCCTGGCTATGAATGACAACAGACAAGTGTTCCAGAGCTGCCATGTAATTGATACCTTAGCAGTTGATTCCCTTAAAAAGTCATCAGTGCTTAGCTGATACCACATGCATTTTATCAGAGCTATTCTTGGAGCTTCTCGATTTATCTCTTGGTACCATAACCTTGAACACTCCCCAGCAGAAAGGAGTTTTTAAGTTAAGCAGATGTTTCCATGCCCTCTTCAAATCTTCACTTACATCAACTTTAATAACAATTATACTGTAACAACTCTTTACTGAATGTTATCATAACTTATCCCCTGAAATTTAAGACAATCCCAAAAGAGTTTATGTGCTCCATGCTCATACTCTGAAATATATACCTCACCCGAGTAAACATATATAATAGAGTGCAGATCGAGCTTATTGACTAATAGAACACCAGTTACACTAGGAGAAACACATTACTAACCTGAGATCTCAAAGTGCCTGTAGGAGTGGGCTAAGCCCAACGAAATCTTCTTGAACGACGTCCTTATCCAGAGTAAGATTTTTTTAGACAATCCCAGCATGAGAATTGATGAGCCTCTAACCATAAAAACAAAACTACACAGTCTTGACAGTGTAGTTTTGTTTTTTGCAATCCCTACACCCGAGGCGAGGCGGGGAATGCACGACTGCTCAGAAGTGCTAACATAGTTGTTTTACTTTATATACCCCAGCTCTGCTGACAAGGTCTACATCATCACGCCAGTTCTGATTGGTTTCCTGAAAGAAAGTATCTTGTGAGAGGGGATCCACTGTGTAACCATACACCACCTGTTGGTTTGATTGGCAATGCTAATTTTGGAAGCACAAAAGGGATTCACTGAGGAAACAGCATCTGTTCCAAAGATTTGGGTCTATAATTCAGTTTGGTTTGCAGTGCACAGTTTAAAAGCCACAGCAGATTTCTGAAGTCATAAGCACAAGAGGAAATAAGCAATAAACAAGAATTTTGGTAGAAGACACAGACAAGTCAGTAGTAGTCATATTGTTAAGATTTAACCTTATTTTATTTCCCTATAAAATATCTAAGAAGCTACCAAATGCATCTGTCAATCACCAGACTAAATAAGTAAGCTGATCTCAGACATGTGGCCACATGCTATTAGAATACACTGTTTGAATTCTATCTTTTTTTTTTTTTTTCCATGAGTTGCAAAATTGTATTTGATGATATGTGGATTTGACTCTGATTTTTAAAATTGCATTTATGATTCTTCAGTTGGAGGTGCCAAACATTCAAACTTAAACAATAGTAGGCAGAGTGCAGAAATACAAGATTTGTGAACATAAATGAGCAAAACCTAACTGACTGCAATTGCTTCATAAGTAAATTTTAAGTCTAACAGCTTTTCTGTGCAGAGGCGGTTTTGGGCAGAGTGTAGATTTAATCATCCATGGCATATTAGTTAGCAAGCTTCCACTGCCCATACTTCTCAGTCCAAGCAGCTAATTGCACTATTAATTGCCTCGGAGACAGCAGTCAGTTAGAAAACTGGTCTTGCCTATAGATGGAATGGGAGCTGTATCACCACAGCCTTATGTTTGCTTCTCTATGAAAACGAAATGCATCTAACTCACATTAAGCAAACTCTTTAAGAACAGAACTGGCTCATAAGACTATTTATGTGCTTAAACCAAGCTTTTGCTATATTCATAAGCAGAGCACTTCAATGTGCTGTCACCAAGATCCGCACTGAAGAAAATCCCTCCAACACATAGGAAAGCCATTTTTATCACAGGTTTGGTGCTGCTAAGGGAGGGAGGAGCCCAGCAGCTTCATAGCACCCATCTCCTTCCTCAGCCAAAAGGCTTCAGGAGTGGAAAACACCACATGCAAATGAAAGATCAACTCAGGAACGCAATATAAGAAGGATATCTAGAAAAATAAACAGACTGGAGTTTTGTAATATCATCTGCGCTAAGGCTTGAAAACAGCCTGAAGAAAACTTTCAGCCTGATCTCCAGAAACTGCTAAGAGGAGATAACACTGCAGTTCCTGCAAGGGGTATTATACAACAGTTCATAGAACTGAAAGAAACCAGAAAGGACATGCTGCTGTGGCCTCTCTGCCCTTTAGTTTATCCATCTCATAAAGTCAACTTTACAGCTAATTCTTGGCATGCAGCAGCAGCAACTGCAACAGAAACTGAAACCTCCTTCTACATCGGTACCATCTAAACCCCCCGCAGAGTTTGAAAGTCAGAGCACTATGCCTCATATTTGACTTTTTGGTGCAAACGGATGTCAGATAACCTAATCTCTCTGTGTGAGACTTAGTATGATAACGAGCGCATTCATTAGCAAGGAAGACAAGTTGGCTACAAAATGTCTGAAGAAATCTGTGTAAAGGGTATCTCACTTCTGATTCTAAACAGAGACTTGCTAAAATAGCAGACAGTAATTTTATCCTGTATTTGAACACTCAAATGTTCAGTGAAAAATCAGCTCAAAGAAGAAACTGGCAGTTATCAGCCAGTATTCAATAACAAAAAACAGCCAGCTTATTGAAGATAAACAGTGAGAATGTTTAGGAAATTGTGATAATTTTTAAGTGAAAGAGATATGAAAATCGCCAGTTTTGAAGATGAGAAGGCAAGAAGTTCAATTTTTGCAATTTCAATCAAATCAATAATTGTTAATAGATATTAAAAAACATTGCAATGCATTCAAATATGTGAACCATGTATTTTGTATTTTTAAAACAAGCTCCTTCCCATTTTTCTCAGTAAAATTTTATACTCGTTTGAATAATTGTTAGGACTATTTGCATCCTAATAAATGTTTGTACTTTTGTAACATATTTTTGTATCGCTAGTAGACCCAGAAATGAAGAAAACAGTAAAATATTTCTTTATGCTCTTAATATGAATGATTTATAATTACATTACTTTAAAAAAAGCAACTTGGCTCAGACAAGTGTGATTTCTGCATGTTTAGTGTCATATCTACAACATATCTGCAAGTAGAATGATGAAATCAGTCTTAATGTTGCGTAGCAAAGACATTGATGGTAAGAACATGGCAATATTTCTTTACTCACAGTTGAGGCAAAAGCCAGGTAGAGACTTTTTTCTGGTATACATAGAAATGAGGATTATTAATAAATTTCAGCATTAGCTTAAGTTGGCTATAACTTGAAGTACAAACTATAGTGCCAATGCTACTGCAGAATATGCATCACACTATAGGCCAAAAATACATTTGAGGAGTAGTAAATCTTCAACATAATTGAAGATTATTGTTCTAAATAGAAATTAATAATGCTATTGACTTGATGAATGGAATAATTATTTGAGTAGGCCTGCAGGAAGATACCTTGAAAATCACGACTTTAACTGTCAGAGCTAAGAAACGATATCATTCTTTCCAGAATATTGAAAGCTTCCAACTGCTGCTCAGGCAAGTTTTCACTGTACATTTTTTCTTAAGTGGAAATTTGTGGGGTTTTTTTTTGTTTGTTTGTTTGTTTGTTTAAACCACATAAATTGCATGTTTTTGTTTTTTTTTAATTATTATTTCTTAACTAGAAATTTCAGTGGCTGTTATTACCATTGCATTCTTGGAATTATCTAAGGAGAAGACATATAGATGTTGCTTTAGATTTAGTTTTTTCAAGTTTTCCTTCCATAGTATTATATATATATATTTACATACGCAGAACAAGGAAGGAATATTAAAAAAAAAAAAAATACTTAACATCTCCCCTTAGTACACAGGGTCTTCTCAACAAGACCTATGAGGTTGAGTAAAAAATATATAATCTAATGGCTCCATTTCTTTTCACAAAATATTAACTAAAACTATAATACTGGGGAAAATAACAAGTAGCATAAGATGGTTCTTAGAATTCGATAGATACATGCTTTGTGAAAACTCTTGCAACTTTTAGCAAATTCCTGGGCATCAAGGATTTATAAAAAGAAAGGGAAAAAGCTTATCAAACTTACCATGCTTCATAACTGACACATTCTTGAAAATCATTTCAGTGATTAACTGTGCTTCTCACTGCCAAAATAAGGTTGCCAGGCCTTTTATTTGTTTGGAATCAAAACTTTTAACATGCATTCTAAGGTGATTTCTTTCTTTTTTTCAAAGGATCTGATATGTACTCAGTCACTCCTCTGACTACAGTAACAATATTTTCTGTGAAACACCTGAAAAAGAATACGTATACTGGTGAAATGCCAGAAAAATGTAATTGTACAAAATTCACTTCATGTTTGATATTTGTCTGTTTCATTAAAAAAATGAGAGACACTAGGTAAAGGAAAAGAGTGCAAACCTCCGTCTTCATGTCTATATTTATGCGCACATGTACATGGTCTTATGACTCCTTTATGGGCAGGATGCCACTGACTTTTCTCTAAAGTCACACAAGTGATTTATGTGATCAGGCGACGACACATATGTGATGGATTTTTTTCTTCTTGCTTTGTCTTTAGGCTTGTGCTTTAATTTGGAGAGAAATCTAAGTTACTATCAGCCAAATTGCACCTTGTTGGAAACTTGTGTAATGCTTTGGTGTTAGGCCTGGAAGGAAATCTGTAGAGACTTCCTTCCCTGTTTTGCACAAATGACATCTACTTGGATGAAGCACAAAGATGCTGTGCTACTTTAACCTGGTATGCTTCCTTACTTAAGTGCATTGCTGTGGTATACAAATCCAGCATAGGACTGATAAATGTTTATAGAAAGAATGACAAACTGTTTCATAACTGGCAGTTGAAGAAAACATACACTAACTTGTATTGTACGAGCCAGAAGTCTGAGTAGCATAAATCATTTGCAAGCTAGGACTTAGAAAACTTGAGTCAGAAGCTGAATAGCAGATAGTCCCAAATCCAACTAGTTATTGTTAGTTATGATGCCAAGTAACCAGATGAAACAGGTGTTTTTCCCAACCAGTTTTTCCAATTCTGCAAGTGGATGGCACTTCAGATGTCCTCATTTTTTGTAAGGAGCTTTGCAATGAGCTGAAAAGACACCTTGAAGCAAAACTTTCACCTTGCTAATGGTTGTCCTACAATCCAAAAGGCTCATTTTCCTTTCAGGTTTTTGCTATATCATGAAAAGATGCTGCAGGTCATGAGTAATTTTACAGCTGTGAAATCTCTGGTTAAAGCAAGTTTGAAACTAGTTCCACTCTTCTAGACTACAGTGGCACACATCAGCTTGAAATGGACTGCTTTATCACAGTAATCCAATCCTGAAGACAGAAGCCATTTAGCTAAAGACTTCTCCATTATACTAAAAATACTTTAAAGAGAATGCCTGGTCCCTGAAAACATTCGTGGTACAAAGCAGGCATTACACAAAACTGTAACACTTATTTACCATTTCTTTTGATGCACAGTCCCTCTGGGAAATGCCAAAGCATTTTCTTAGGAATAAGGCAATGAACGCAATATTTAATTTGCAGGAATATTTATAAGCAATATATGAAAGCCATATTTGTGTCTGAATTTTCCATGCAAGCTAGAGGGAAGAGCTGATGCCATTGATTGTAATAGTACAAAATGGTTGGTGCTGATGAGCCTGCAATTTATAAGGGCTCAATTCTCTCTTTTCCCATTGTTTTATTCTGATCGATTTGTCCAACACACCAGAAAAAAACCCACAGAACGCTGCTTAATAACTGCTGGGCATTAGTGAGTTTTATTAATAACGATTTATAGAGAAATCAAATATAAATTTCAACCTAGATACACATCAAATAGCTCTCAAATATTCATTTTCTCATCACACAGGGACACAGGAAACAAGATGAACTCCCTCATTAATCGCAGTTCATCTTCTGATCCTTGGCAGTAGGCTGAAGTAAACCAGGAACATGTTCCAGACTGAAGCTAATATCTGGTGGTCTCACAAGCTCATGATACACTCCTTGAAGCCACAGTTTCTCTTCAAACCTTTTATTTAAAAAACAAACAAACAGTTTATATTGTCTCTGTTTTAAATTGTGGCAGCTGCAACATTCCCTTTCATAAGCAGCACTGTAGTGGTTGATATAGGTTCTTGGTCTTGAGATGATAACAAATTAAAGATAAAATACACACTGACTCCATACAGAACATAAATTATCCTTTATCTTACAATAACAAATAATTGGAGGGTACTTATGGTATAAGAAACAGAAGAATAATGAAAAAGGAAATCTGATCTTTCTATACAGTCTCCATGTTTTAATCATGCTGAATATGCTGAGTTATATATCAGCATCAAGTATAATTAATGTAATTTTATATTTGATTCCAGTGCTTTGGAATACTTGTCATCTCACAGTGATACAGAAAACAAACAGTGATACAAAAAAACAAAATAAAACTTGTGAATCAATGCTTAATCAGCTGATTTTAAATCATGACTACTGGAGGATTTTGTGCATGTATACATTTCTTTCATTTAATAAATTCAAACAACACTGAGTGATATTCTGCTGTAATGAGAGAATTAGTGTGTGTTTATATATACATATACGTATATAGAAAATATCAGCTGCCCTACTTAATCAGCTTGCTTTTGCAGAGAAAGCAATACCCATCTTTTGCAAAACATTCATTAGCGTCGTGCAGATGTTAAAAAAAAGTTTGTTATGATAAACACTTTTGTCCCTCAAAAAGAAAATGCCAACATGCTAAAAATAATTATATTCTTAGGTCATGTCAAGAACTCACTGCATAACCAAAGGAAAAATATCTGAACTTCTGGAATAGTTTGTACCCTTAAGTTGTTCATTTGTAAGTTAATACTGAGATTAAGATACCTAGATTAAAGCAAAAACAAAACAATCACTGAACTAAATACCCTGTTTCACATAAATTTCATTTTCTATCGTATTATGAAGTCTTCAACAAAATTTAATACCACTGGGTGTAGATAAATGCAAAAGCGTAGAAGCAGCCACATCATGTGCTCTACATTATGCAAAAATTGAAAGGATCAGAAAGAGTGTTATATGAGTGCTTTGTAAATTAAGGTTACTGCAGCTATTTAACTATTACGAGATGTAACACACCTTACTGGGAGATGCCTAAGGACTGGCATTTGGCCTCTCACACAATACATGTCCTGGTCTTGTACAAGTTCAGCTATGGTGACATCCCCTTTTGTTGAGAAGTACCCATTTTCCCATTCTGATTTAGCCTGACTTACAGTGAAAAGTTCTGGGTTTTTATTTTTCTCTGAAATGAGACAAACATCCAAAATTGGAAATTAAGGTTTCATTTAATACAGCAACATGCCTTAAATCATACCTTTGGCCAAGGTGAATCACCTATCACTGTTACTATAGCAGAACAGCATGCCTTTCCAACTTCATTGCTGGCAACACAGATATACTTCCCAGTATCAGCAAGAGCTACATTTCTTTTTAACAGGTAGTAGTTATCTCCTAATTTCTCAGTCTGTAAAATAGAATGCACATAGGAGATTACTATTAGCATAAAGCAAAATATATTATCTTTCTCTGAGAAACGTTTCAAGAACGTTAGAACATACACTGATGTCTCCAGCAACTATTTGGATATCATCCTTGCTCCAGTAGACATGTGGTATGGGCTTTCCACGTACAGTGCAATGCAGGATTAAATCTTCTCCTTCTTGAAGAGTTGTGTGTCCAAATTTCTGTATGAAATTTGGCCATCTTCCTTGTACTGAAAAAAATGCACTGTATTTTAAATGGCACCACTAAAGCAGATGAAGAAATATCTGTTTTCATGGTTAGAATTTTACAACATTGCAAGACTGGAACAAGCAGACTTCACTTATCTATATAATATAAAGTTTGCTGAAACACATGCAGACTAAACATCTAATAATTTCATGCATCAATGTAGTGATATTAGTTCTATGTCAACGTCAAGGAATCATGTTTGTTGTACAGGTAGTAGGTAACTATGTTGATTGTTATGCTTCAGTAAAGAGAAGATAAATATTCCACATAAATTTAAAGGAACATAGTTAAGATAGTTATTTATCGTATTTAGTGCACTATTGTACATCACATCCTTTCTTCTTTTGATTTTGAAGCAAAAAATAACATCTCACGAAAGCACCCAGCATCTGAATCCAAAATATGATGACCGAGCTAGATATTTTTGCAAAATATCAGTGTGGGGAGTGAAACATTTTCACTCCCTTGTATTAATGAACTGATTGCTGATGTAAGCAGCTTTGCATCATTTCCATACTGTAGGTCTGAGGCCACAACACAGAGCAGAAGTATATACATTTCACTCTCATATTCTTGCTAACCTAAAGTCTATATTAACCAGTGCCATTCTCAGCTGTTGAAAGCTGGCATGCAAAAGCTGCCACCATGATTTCATCGCATGCACCTGAAGCAGATTTTTGAATCTGCAGATTTCAATATGAGAATCAACCAATCTGAAAAAAAAAAAAAAAAAATCAGATCTGAATGGAAGCATGACAATGATCAATCAGATATTATCTTGATTTTGGATCAGTATGTCAGCAGAACATAAAAAATAGAGTGACCAATTTCTAGGCAACAAAGAGAAAAATACATGCAGAGAAAACTATTAAGTGGCCTATAACTGTTAGAAAAACATGCTTTAGAATTCAACATCGCAGCAATCTGATGTAAAATGATGTGATCATAGCCTGATAACAATTATCAAAAAGTAACATAATATTTTACCAATGGTTTTCCCATTTTCAAAAAGTAACTATTTCACCAATGGTTTTCCTATTATATCATTATTAAATGTCAGAATCACAGAATCATTAAGGTTGGACAAAACCTTTAAGACCATCTAGCCCAACCATCAATCTATCACCATCATGCCCACTTTTTCCTGCTTCACAAAAAGAAATATTTCAGGTTGTTTAGGCTACTGAAAACCCATTCTGATGGCTTCAGGTAGGAAAAATGTTTATGATCTGAATATCCTTATCCAGAACTCCACTGTCCTTGAATATCATGGTCTAAACTCATTAAAGAGAATCTGTCTTGTAATTTTTAGTAACATAGTTCCCCTGAGTCACAAAAGAAACACACACACACAGTGTACTAGCTTAACCTGCAAAGTCTCCAGAGAAAGGCCCAGAAATAAGCATACCTTACCAGTCATTTGAGAGGAAGCCACCTGCTCCACTGCAGCTCCATCCACATCTGATTCAAACACAACCAGAGGAATGCCTCAGCCTCCCTTAGCCTACTAACTCATACAAGGCCCACAGTCAGGCTGCTTCTTTTGAAAAATGAAAAGAATTAGCCCCTTCCCCTTAAAATTTATACATGTTGTGGAAGTACCCTTTCATACAGTTCCACTTCTAGTCAGACAATCTTGTTCAACTCCTTCTTAATAAGCTTCTGTATATAAAGAAGGAGGAAGTAAGGTTAGGTTAGTAATGTGCGTCATTATTTATGTTGCAAGGCTAAAGGGATACTTAAGTCTGCTTTTTAAGAGAGGATTCAGAAGGATGTTCATATTCTGGTATCTTGACATAATTATAGGTTCAAAACTGTGACTGCATTTAGAGAAGCTCAGTACTGTAAAATAAGAAAGCATCAAAACCAGAACAAAAGCCAGCCAAATGTACTTTCTGCTTCTACGTAACATTTAAAAGAAGGAGGAAGTAAAGTATATGCTACTTGAAATATAAAGGAAAAAAAAAGTCTAGCTTTGAAATTATTGCTGAAATTCACTGGCTTAAGGATGTCCTTCTCCAGCCAACAAATCTGAGAAAGTGAGCACGGGTATAGTTTTAACACTACATTATAGCAATGATCAACTAGGATATAACATCAATGCAGTTTCCTCATCTGGGAAGTCTTCCAGACTATCAAGTCAAATTTCATTAAGCAATGCATTCAAAAAGTCCATTAAGATCAACTATCTTCCACACCTCATTCAGTACATTAGCTACCGAAAAGACTATCAAAATGTTTTTTTTTTTTTTTAAAAAAAGAGGAAAATAAATATGGAAATTACAAACTTCAACCACAAGTCTCATTTCATGAGTTATTGAACCATGATTTAGAATAAAGGAAAAAAAAAACAGAACATAATTGTATTGATTTTATAAGTGTATTTTTGCAAAGGGCGAAGTCTGAAATGCTAGTTCCAGCCTTGCGTACTGTAGGGCAGAAAGACTCAACACACATCTTGCACCAAAGGTGATTCTCCTCCAACCACAAAGGAGAAACATACCTCTCAACTTTGCTCTCTGTTCATTTAAAGACAAAACAATGAACATTCTAGCACTGAACTTCTTGCAGCTTTCAAGATGAAGAGCACGTATACATTAAAACTAAGATGAAGCTTTGAGTCTAGCCTCTACAGAGCACAGATCAGGGACAACTCTTCCTGTCTCTAGCCTTACGTTAATGATTAATTTAAAAGCCAGATTCTAGCAGAGGCAAGGGAAAAGGAAGCAGTATCTCTGCTTTCACTCCTGTTCAGGTTTTGTTTTTTTAATTATTTTTTTTCCTTGGAACTTGCACTTACTCTTAAGATTGAAGGCAAAAGTGATTTAAAGTGATCTGAATGGCCTATAAAGTTAGAAAAGCAGAAAACAAATCAAAACATATGAGTACTTTTAATTTCTGAATAACAGGCTTCTGGAAGAATCACGCTCTCAGTAAAAGTAGAGGACTGAAGGACAGCCATCACTCAGTAATTTTTTCCAAACAGAAAGTGAATGATATAAATAAGATTGTCATGCAGTGGCAGCTCTTCAGCATTAAAAAAAAAATAATCTTAGAATTCATAGAGGAGGCATTTTGTGTTTGTTCTTAACACACTTTCCAACATAATGGTTATGCAATTCAGCTTGCTCATACAGATTCCTTGCTTTGTGTTTGCAGCAAACACAGAGATAAATGAAGTCACAAAGACATAAGAACACTATGCTGAATTTTACTTTCTTGAAAATTGAAAGATTGAAAATCATACTAATTATTAAAAATAGCTTTACTTTGAAATAGCACTTTTGAAAAAGAGTTAATTTTTATACCTTGGTGATCGGATCAACATTTTCAGGAGATTATCAAACTCAAAGTTGTTTATTTGGGGTTTTGTCAAATATTTTGTTCCTGTTTGTTCACTACCTCTTATTATCTTCCCTCTCTCATTGCTATGAGGTTATATTCCCTTCTGAACGTCTCCTGTTTCAAAGTTACAGGAATTTTAATAAAGTTATAGTCACTGAGCCAAAATATCTAAATGTCAGTCTTCAATTTCATCTACCCCTGCAAGTTCAAGTATGTATTCTGCTCACAGCCTGCTGCCTGGTAAACGACTTATTTACTTTATCTTGCATAATTTACTGAAAAGAAATATTTCCTGTCTCTAAATTTTCCATATCAACATAGACATAACATGAAAGCTGCAAATCAAAGGTGCTGGAAAAATCATTCAGCTTTTGCCACAATTGTTTTTACTGTACTTGCACAAGTGCTAAAATTAAAGAGACTTAATTTTCATTTAAGCATTTAAGTGGAACCTTTTACTAATACTTTTGTCAAAGATTTAATCAAATTACATAAATAATATCCATGGCTGTTCCTATTATGATTTGTTATATATAGACAAGTTTTTGTTTTGGATTTACCACTTACTAAAGGAGAATGATGTGTGTGTGTGAGTGAGAGAGAGAGAGAGAGAACGCGCGCATGCTTTTGAGTATTTCCTCATCTTGATTGATTCTTTCTGAAATAAGTGCATTAAAACTTTTTAAAAGCACATTCCATAAAATAGTATCTTTCTTGTCCTATAGTAATGCTTTACATAATTGTCAGAAATATTTAGAGTTGTACTTTTATAAAATGACAAAAGTATCACAAGCATCTGCTTTAGAAGGTGGATGTGTTGGAAGGCCTCAGGTTTCGTTTTGAAAAATATTTGCAAGTTTTATCTAGGATACACTAAGTGCTACTTACGCAAATTCTGACAATTCTATGCCAAATTTCTGTAGTGCACATTACCACAACTCTATTGCAACTTTAATCTGTGGAGATTACCTGCTGATATGAGACAAATTTAAGTCTGACAGTATTCATGACTGCACTGTCATATATCACTTTATACTAAGAATCTTTATCCTATAAATGAAAAAAAGAAATGAGAAAAGGTCATTGGAAAAAGCACATTTTATGTTTAAAATAAATTTCAGCACCCTTCTCCCTCCTCACCATAATGGATGTGTTGATATGAGCACTCTGTGTGTACTGAGACAAGCAGTAGCTATAAAACTTCAGCTCTTCATAATGCCAACGTATTTAAAATGCAAAAATAGATTCTAGAAAAAATTTTCTAAAAATTTGATTCTAGAAAATCCTTGTAACTTTTGTTTTTGTTTTTAATCTCAGCTTCATTAGGGTAAAGGAAAACAAGCACATAACACAGGTATTAAGGAACAAGCAATATATCAAATGTTACATAAAAGTAGTTTGGTACAGGTGGTGAAAGAATCAGTGTAGGAAAATAAATTTCATTGTCTTAGCATGTGAGAACAAAGTCCAGTGCATTCAGTACCATACTTATTTTGTGAATAGCCAGTACATTAGTGATATGCTAATATAAATGATACACAGCGTTATCCAGTCTATTCTTGCAACAGGTGGCCTGTTACCTTGCACACGGAGAATAGCACTTGATGATATAGTGCCACTAGAATTTTTAGCCCGAGCAACATAGAGGCCAGCATCATTATCACACACCTTCTGAATGAATAAAGTATGCTTTGTCTCCTTTTGGGAAAGCTTTAAGTGCTCATCAGCAGTCACTTTCTGGCCTTTCTTGTACCTGAAGCAGAGAGTCAGTTTTCAAGTCAGATTTATGTCATTGTATGCCAAGCAGATCTTTCCAAGTTACCAATAACCTTACAACACAAAATTAGTAGCAAAGAAGTTCGCAGCTGTGCTTTCAGTCCTCATGTTTAAAGTTATATCTAAATATTTGAATTCTTCAAATTACTGCAGAAGATTTTCTTACCTCTGGAAAACGTGGCTTTGAAAATGGTTTTGCATGGACAAGTCACTCACTTATCTCATTGCAGTATTCAAGACTGTAGCATGAAGGCCTATACTCTTAATTTTGCTAGTAAAGTAGTCAAATCCTTATTCAATTTGGAGAAAACAGGATCTTAAGATGCACAAGCAATACAGAAATTGCCAAACATCTGTGTTCAGCACAAAGAAGAGGCAAGGACCTGTTTCTCCACCACAGCCCACTCACACTTTTGTAGTTCACATCAGGCAGGATAGAACAGGTATCATATTCTATGACTTCAGAGTCTGTCACGATGTATTGGTCTTGCCTACTAATATACATTTTGGAAGTGAGAGAAAGTTCTGGCTCTTTTTAGCTGGTTGCATTTCAGCATAACCTAACCTGAACGCAGATGTGATTTCCAAAGGGTATATCTAATGAAATGTTGACACTGGTACCAAATACATGATTTCAGTGTTACCATACTGAATTTTTAAATTATAAATGTATCACTTATCTATTTTAATAATTTTCTAATTTGCTTTCTGTGGAATGCTATTCTTTAAAAGATCAGATATCAACCATGAACACTCTTACAAGCTAAATTAATGCTTTCTTGTGGTAAAACGAAATTGAAGGTACATGGTTTTACCAGCACTACTCCTCAAAGTATATGGAATGATTGGATCTAGAGCAAAGTAACTTTATTGATACCAATAGAGGATATATCACCAAGATTGCAGAATACAGTATTTTTCTCAGTGCCATGGAAGAAAATTCGGCTTACAGATTGCCTTATTGAAATGCTCTGTCTTCTGCGAAATAGATATGCTTTACATGTGTACTTTTAGTAACATTGTCAAGTTAAGATCATTAGGAAGCATATATTATTTTAACAGACTAAAAGAAAGGCATCTATGGTGAACGTCTAGTGTGAAGGAATAGCAAATGAGGGAAAACTTAATGAAAAATAGACCAAAAAACACAGGACTAATACTGAAATCTTGAAATCCTGTCCTCTTGTTCAGCCAGTACCTAGTTTTGCATGGAACTTTTAAAATATCATACTGAAAGATATGATGAAGTATAAAGAAATTTGATTAGACAGAAGTTCAGAGATAGGACTGTGCAAGAATACAGATATATATATAAAAGGTACTCTTAGATTTTGTTTGTTTTTGATGTGTAAACTACCTCCAATTTTGAACAACTCTATCACGTATTTAGAAATATATTTGTCTCTATGTATATTTAGTGACTATATAACTGTGTCCATCTGTCTATACACTGTGGCAAGTACCTTGAAAAAGAAGCAGATTTAGAGTAAATCGGGAGTGAGCATTTAAGACAATACTGAACAAAGGGAATGTTGGAGTACAGAACATAAATACTTGACGAATCCACTTAAAGAATGTTGAATATGCTTCCAGTTGTTCAGTGTTCTCATTATACTTAAAATTATGTACAACGATCATTTGAAGTAGGTTAATTGTCAAATAATTCTGAAAGTGGGAATCATGCAGAAGTGTGGAGTGGAAAGAACAGAAGGTGTTTAGTCTAGTCTATAGATTAATAGAATATAGTTGTAAGTGATTCAAGGTGCCTCACTAATAGATATATTTACTTTTTCTCATTGTAAGCTACCCACCATGTCAGTGTAGGCTCTGGGATTCCTGTTACTTCTACTTCCAGAGTTACCGGAGAACCTTCCATGACGGTTACATTAGACAGAAGCTGGGAGAAGTTAGGAGCCTGTCCAGTTAGGCAGGCCATGCTGTTCTTTTCTGATGTACTTTTAATCTCTTCTCGGATGACCATCTGCCTCTGACAGCTTCTGGTGGCGTCTGATTGAAAGACGAAACCTGAGAATGCATCAGGCAAAGCATGCAGCCTGTCCTGGGTTTTAGTACAGTTATTTGAGTCATGCAATTGTTCTTGTGTTTCTGCCATGCTTTTATGAATTTCAAGGTGCTGCAAAAGTGTTTTGCGCGCTTCACTCATTGTGCTATATGCTGGTTTGGCACTTATTGTGCAGGAAGCAGCACTAGCTTCACATACTGCTTGTAAACTACAAGGCAGAGGAGAATCTGCTCTGACTTTTGGACCAGAATCTGTTGAAGAGATACAAAACTTCTCAAGCTGAGCTGATGGCCTTTCCATTCTAGTATTTGTAGCATCAGCATAAGCAGAATTTGTTAAGAGATCAGATGATTCCATCAATCTTTTATCACTGGAGGTTTTCTGCATTTGCAAGCTATATGAACTGGCATGCAGATTATGAGAACTACAACAGCGTTGCTCTTCTAGCTCGGTTTCAGAATGTAAGAGATTAGACTCTGGTGTCTCAGAAAGTGGTGGCAAAGAGATATCATCAGGTGATATACACTCGTATTCATCTCCAGAGGGTATTTCTTCTGCCAGGAATTCAGTCTGTAAACTATCCTCTTTGGCTGAAGATGACAGCTCTGTATCCTGTGAAACAAGATCCTCACCAGCTGGGCAGATAATTGGAATATCAGCCAATTTATTCCTCTCCTTAAATTAGGAGGGGATGGAGAAGAATGGAAAGAAAGGAAAAACAGAGAGAGAGAGAGAGAGAGAGAGAGAGAGAGAGAGAGAGAGAGAGACCAGGTTATCATTTAAACCATCACCTTTTCATACAAAAGCTGGCAAAAAATATTTGAAATCTTTCTTCTATTTAAGCTTAATTAATGTATCATAAGAAGAGGAAGAAATAGGTGGAAAAGGATAGTCATCACAAAAGCTTGCTGCAGCTAACTAGAATTTCAAACTGTTTGGACAAACTACCAGATATAATAAGTATTTGGTCTAATCATAACAGGAACAAGAAAAAGTACTTCATCTGTAAACAAGCGGCAACTTGTGGACTTGTAGGAGGTTTTCATAATAGCATTTGTGTTTGGTGGGTGGGTGTACACGCGAAAGGAGGTGGCATGACATTTATATGGGAAACAGTTACATAATAAAAGTAGATTAATAGCCAAGCTACTGGACTTCTGTTACTTGATGTTCACGTATTGAGGAGTTAGAGTTAAATCAATATCTTCAAGATTTTTTTCAAACACATTGTATTTTCTTTATTTTGTACCAGTTGTTTCAAGATCTCATCCAAATATTAACAAAAAATAAAGTTAAGATTCTTTTTATTTCCTTCTACCAAGAATAAAAAACCCTCTCATTTAAAAAAAAAGAATTAGATGCGGCGTGAGAACAGCATTCACCGCTGTGAATACAATACAATGTGTTTTATCCAAAACGTTCAAAGCACTTCAAAGATGAAGTTTGTGTTAAAGGTTTTCCACAATTATCTGATAAGATCCAAACCTCAAATTGTCTTTCAATATGAACAGTGATATAAAAACAATCAAAATTGAATTTCCAAATTGGTGGAAAGCATAAATTTTTCACCTTTCAAATTGCACAGAAGAAAATAAAACCTTGATTTATACTTCCTAACTTGTCATGTATTCAAATGTTTTTACTGAGGTTCTGACTAATGGTATAGCTATTTCTAGAAAATATTTCTTTTTAGGGATTAACTTCAATATCCTCATACATTCTCTCAACTTCGCAAATTTGGCTGTCACCAAGCTCTTATAACCTTACCATCAGTGTTCTAAGTGACCATATCAATTTTATACACAACCAGATTAGCAATTCTTTCTTAAATTACTTAATATACACCTAGGCAGAAAATCTAGGCTGTTTGGTTTGAAATACATCAGCAAATTTAATAAACCAAATCTGATTAATATTAAGATTAAATATTAAGAGGTCAAAAGTGACTTAAGAATATTAAACACTGAAGATTTCCATTAAAAAAAAAAAAAAAACAAAACAAGACACATAGGCCAAATTTTCCAAATAGCATAGCCTGTCTGAATGAAATTAATGGTCTATACACATTGTTCAAGAACCTACACGTACGTGTGCAGATTGGCATACATTTGGGACATGTCTGTGAGAAAGCCACAACAATGTTGGAATCTTCCATTAACTAATCTAGGATCCTAGTGCAGGGCTGTGCTGCCAGTTTCATAGTTATCAAATCTCAGAAGTCACAGAAGTCACTCCAGACATTGCTTTAAAATGACCCTAGAGAAACTGCTGATGTTCTGGTGAAAAAAAATTGTAGGTGAGCTGTGAGCAAACTGTAAGAAAGGCTTTAGCAGCATGAGGGCTTTTGCCCTCATCTGCCACTTGTAATCAAATCATTAAAAAAAGCACCAAAAGCACCACTTTTTAGAGAGTTATATTATTAAAGCATATTAATATTGCAAAAATTAGATTGCAGAAGCATAGACAAAATTATACGTTCAATGTGAAATTGGAAATGGGCCAAGTCTTTCCCAGAAGGGATGGAAATTTAAGACAGAAAAGACCTAGTAAGAATGAATCTGATTAAGCATGGAGTAATGAAAAGGGTGGAGATAGCATAATTGCCATATTTCACATCTCCAATCAGCAGCTGAGGCACAGTCTAACAAGGATTGATAGGGCTGTGACCTAGCAAAATAAAAAATAAGGCTATGGTTTTCTGCCAGATTGTTATTTTTTTTTTTGAACAGACAAATTCTGGGTGAAATCTGGGCTCCAAGTCAACGGTGAAAGCCCTATCAACTTGGAACAGAGGTGACAAAGTAAATTAAGGTAAGTTTTGGTTCATCAGCAGAGAAGAGGATGTTCTGTATAGATCTAAAGGGAACAATAACATCATTTGAATTTCTACAATTTAAAACAATTTAATGTAGCATTGGTTTACATTATCATCTTGCAAAACTTTAGATCTCCAAATCAACTCCTAAATTACCCTACCTTTGTAAAGACTTAAATATGCTATCATCCATTCCCATGTAACCTGAAAGTCTGATACATTTACAAACCAATACCCCAAGGCTTCAAAATGTTCATCAAGTTAGAAGAATTAATCTCTAAAAAAAAAAAAAAACAAAACAAACAAAAAAAAAAAAAACAAAACCCACCCTTTTTTTATTGCCTGCATTTCTAAGACTGCATTTGTTCATTGACAGTTTTAATACCTCTTGTATTTATGATATATCAAAAATCAACTGTCTATGTCCTAGGATTTTTTTATTACAATTCTATATGTATACCTAGCCTTTAAATACTTTGCTTTTGTGCATTATCTCAACATGCTACTGATACCTATTTAATGTTGGTAAGAGACAGGATATTGTTTCTCTTCTCAGTATCGTATTTTGAATTTATAAGCAATATCTGACCCCATTTGAAATAAAATAAAAAACATTTGAAAATTTATGTTAAAGATAATGATTTCTCTTTCTGATGAAGATTTGTGACTTAGAAAGCATCAAAACTTTCACCTGTTCAAATTGTGTTCAAATTCTGAGTTACGTAGCTTTACTTACAGAATATTATGAATAATTTGAATATTTTCATTCTGTGCGTCTAGAGGTCCAATGAATTTTAGAGTTCTAAAAAATACTAAAAGCAGTCTCCTTTATGACTTATCTTCCTTAATGCTGAATATGTTCTCCCTTGAGAAAGCAGAAATGGTCACATAGAAGATGGCTGTGTTAGGAATAATGCGTCAATAGTACTTAAGGGAAAAAAATGGTAAAAAAAAAAAAAAGTATGAAAATAAGAGTTTCAAAAAGGAAAAATAGTTCTGCATGGAGAATGTTGAGGAGATATACAGACAAGTAAAAAGTATGAAAAAGAAAACTGCATAGGGAAAAAAGTGTGGGTTGCATGGAGTATCTAAAAAAAAAAAAAAAAAAAAGACAAATGAAGGTACCAAGACTACACTGACACAATTTACCTTAAGGGATGCTCATGAGGGAAATTAATAAACTTTCCAACAATGTACAAAGCCTCCTAACAAAGTGAGGTTCTAGTCAAAACAAACCAACCTGATGCTTTTCTTCATCTGCTTTGTCTTCACATTCTTCTTGACTATTTCCTTTTTTTTGAGCAGTAACCAGCTCTCCAAAGTCATCTTTCTGCCACATGAAAAGAAGATTAAGTTGATACACAACAGAAGACAGTAATCAGTAATTTCACACTGACTTGTACTCAGTGCAATGGTGTAGCACGTCATCAGTAAAAGTGTATGTTACTTATGACAAACATATTCAACAGAACCCAATTCATTCATTCCTGAGTGAAAAAAGGCAACATATTTCAAAGCTAAGGGCTTTGTTTCAGAGGAAGGGCAAGTATAAGGCACCCTAAGGCTGCAGAAATCAAGTGCTTCACCAAGAATCTGAGGAATACTAATCAATTTGTACAGGGCATAAAGAACGAAAAATGAAGGATACACAGTATGACATTTTCCTTTCAATTGTTGCTGTTTAAAAAATGACAGGAAATTGAATTCCCATTCATGGCATTCCATACTCTTGGTGCCTATTTGTTTGGCTAATTTGCTACATTATTTCTGTCTCATAAGATTCATACATAACTACTGACTGCAAATGTACAATCAAAATATTAGTCTTAAAATCTTAGACTATGCATTTATAATAAAAAGGAACATCTGTCATTTGAAGAAAATTGCAGAATTACTCTGTTGCAGAAAATTTCCTTGTCATAATACTCAGTTTGAGTATTAAGTCCTTTTTTTCTTTTAATAATATCTAAGATGAATGAAAGATTAATGAATAATGAATGATGAATGAATGATTAATGAATAAATACTTTGTGTGTGCGAGGGGGGAGAAGAATGTTCTCCAAATAACTATCTTTAATAGATAACTTCATAATTAGCAAAATTAGTCAAAGTGTTATTTTGAACTAGCAAAAAAAGATTAAAAGATAAAGCCCTGTCATGGCAGAATCTGGAGCTATTGATGTACACCTTACTATTTAGATACATGTGAACTGAGAGAAGAATCTTGAAAAAATAGTTACACACACTGAAATTTCTTCACGCTAGCAGTGAAAAGCAAAGCTTTCTTTTTATTTACTTAAAGACTTTTGGAACTCACTTGTGTCTAGAGGCAATAAGAGATGCCAAGATACATTAATGGATAATCTGAGTGTTAAGCATTTTCTATACTACAGGAAATAATGGAAAAATTGCAACAGCACAAAGTGAAACAGCATTCAACAACAACAGGATATTTGAGCATCTTATGTATTCCAGCTTCACAGAATTATTCCATCAGGTATCACTGCACATGGTTTGATGCATTACTTTGAGAGTGAGGCAGGATGGAGTAAACTGTGTCTATATTTCAGAAATTTATCCCTCCATCACCTACTTGCTGTAACTAATCAGCTGTGCTTAAAGAAGCTCACAGGAATACAAAACTAAGATATTTGTTGTCATCCTTAACATTTATAAGCCAGGCTTTTCTAACTAAAATGACTTTGGTTTTAACACAATTTTTGTTTTGGTGTGATTTTTCCTGTTATGAAATAAGTTAGGTTGTTTGGCATCTTTAAATTTGGCACTTATCTGTATTTCAGAGCTGAGAAAAGCATGACATTCTTCCCTAAAAGTTACGTGAAAGCTATAACAAAAAGATGTCCGAAAGAAAAACAAACAAATAAAATCAACAACAAAAACAGGGTGAATAACTAGTGCACAAAGAAGTGGCATTTCACTGTTCTGTTATGACTGCTGTTCTTGGACAAACAAACCAAGGAATATTTCAATACAGAAGATCATCAGTGGCATAATAAGTACTGTACCAGTAGTTCAGACACTAAACCTGATATATTCATGCAGATACTACATATTCCCAAGGCAAAAAAAAAAAAAAAAAAAATACCTGAATCTCCCTAAATTCTCTCAGCGATCTACACAACTCATCAACAGAATTAAGGATTTCTTTGTACTTTGATACAGCTTTTTCAACATACTTATTTCCTTCTTCAAAACCTGAAATGGGAAAACAAAGCTTCTTTCAATGAAAAGTAAACAGAGAAAAATACAAGCCTCCCCCCCCCCCCATAAAATAACAAGCCATAATACCTCAGAGAAACATATAACAATGAATGTACTTCATAACCTTCATATAGTAAGTATATTTTAAATCTGTTTTATTTTGCTGAAGAAGCTCTGTAGTATAGAGAAATGCAGTTTCCTACCTATTACTAGTTTTCTTGACATCCTGTTTCATAGTATCTGCAAGTGTTCTACTGGGTTTCTCCTTGATGAAAATTACTACTATGTGGTCAGTGACACCGCTTGAAAAAGTGCTGGCCTCAAACTGTTTCCTGAACTACCAGACTGATTATATAGCTAGAAGACATTTGAATCCCTATTATAAGATATAAAAAAAAAAAAAAAAAACAAAGGTGGGGTGGAAAAGTTTTTTTCCCAAACTAAGTAAATAACAAAAAAAAAGCACAAAGTAGCTTCTTTCCCCCAACATTCCTAATAAGATAGTGAGGTCATTTTAAGAATCCATTCTGCCAACATATTCTCCAGAGATAAGAATGTTTAAAATGTTTAGAGGGTTAAAAATTAAGACAAAAAAGATCGGTTTGCTAATTAGTCTTCCCAACACCAAGTCAGAGAAATTTGAAAGCACAGTTTGTTGAAATTTTATCAGATTTGTTATTTGACTTTATAAGCTGCACATTATCCTTCTACATTTGGATAGACACTTTATCTTTGAATAAAGTAACTTCAACAGGTACAGAAGCTGTGAGCTGGAGAAAAAAGAAAAACATTAAGTTGGCTGACCTGCGTTCTTTTCAGTCAACAAATTAATGTTCTCAATTGATACAACTGCATATACAATTTTTACATAGTGCCCTTTTTTTGGAAATACATAAAAATTAGCAATCAAATACCACTAGCTAGTCACAACAATAAAAATTCATCCATCATTAATGCATAACTCTTTAACATATTGTGATTCTGTGATACGTTGACTTCAAAGATTTAGTCTGCTACAAGTAATCATGAGCCATGAAGTCTTAATTCCAAACTCAAATATTATTCATGTTCATATTACAGGGTGAGCACAGTCTGCATACTGCATAGGGAAAACCAGGTAATATCAGGCTGCTGAGTACTTTTGTATTTTTATTTTTTTATTACTTTCCCTGAAATCCTTCACATTTTCAAGTCTATACTCTATAACTTTTGTTGCTTTTAACTTTGTGAAAAGTTTTATTCTTAAGTCAACAAATCTAGAAATCTGCTTCCTTCTGTCCTAAACAACTGTAAGTGATGTTCCTGAGGTTTTTTTTCCCCCAATGTTACTAGATAGATCCTTACCATATAACTGTTCAGCCAGATCTATAATCTGCTGAAACTTCTCTTCTTGTTGAGGCACTGTAGACTCAATAAACTTATTGAATTGCTTGTAGAGGGTCTCCACTGCTTCTCTGGTTTTGCATTCAGCGGAATACTTGCCAACTCTAATGACTGTTGCACTAACATCTTCAAAGCAAAATTGACACTGAAGTAGATTGAAAAGGATAAACACTATCAGAATGAATATCAGCATTTCAAGCTTTTACAAAATAGATTAAGCTATTCTTATAATTTCAGTAACCAGTGGCATAGATTTTGCCTTAAATATTGTGAACACAGCTTAACTTCAAAAACATTTTTCATTATGAATGTTGTTGCAAATATTGAAAGCTGTTCCATTTTCTTTAAACACTAGATTCATAAGTTAAAGTTTCTGCAAACATCTTTTAACTCCAAGTTCTTTCTATTTTATATATTAGCTGTCTAACTTTGCAGACTTTGTATCATGGCCTAAGCAAGGTTGCTTAGATTTAGTTCACTGGCAAAACAGTCATTAAAGATTATGAGAATCTTTTGACAAATGAGAATGGGCTTTAGAATGTACCCTTAATAAGTATTTTTGGTTAATAATACTGAAGAGATCACTTAATCTCTTACTTACTCAACATCTCTATTACATCATCACAGGAAGTAGCTAATAATTGACTTAATTTTAATTGACATTAAAGTCAGCATTTAAGATTATACCAACACTCTGAAATTTTTGAATAAGTTCTACTTCACACTGAGTAAGAAGACATCTTAAAGACTATCTCTAGAAAATAATCTCTTTTTCCCAAAGTATAAAGCTGGATGTGGGTGTTAATGTAAATCCACAACATAAATTGGATTGCTAACTTACATGAAATGACACATTTATCTGATCAGTAAACAATGAAAACACATTTTAAAACAAACTTCACTATTACTATCCATTACTATCATTAAAGGAATTTATTCATCATGCATTTAGATGAACTTGGAGATCAGTATTATTTCTAAAGATAAACAGTGATGACAGGAATGTGCTTGACACACAGATGCACCAACACAGTACAGCAAGAAGGAAAGTATTGCTACAAACTATTGCTAAAAACTATACGGCAATTCAAAAAATAAAAGGCAGTCTTCAGGTGTATTAAAACCAAGTTAGAGAATTCTGCAAAGCAGACTGCTCTCTGGGAAAAAAAATACTTAATTTACCAATTAAGTATATTAAAGATGTACGGATATAATAACATATATAGAATGTATATTATTATACATAATATGCATAAAATATTTTGCTGCTAAGGTATCAAACATTTTACATTTCAATTCCAGAACTGCACACTTTATAGGCAACTCTTTCCAACAGCTAACAAATTGATTATCATGATGACTTCGCTCTTGTGATTTGACAGCTGTTAAAGAATGCCTTGTGGCTCTGTGTTGCACCAGAATACTTACAGAAAATGAGCCCAAAAATAAAGTACGATTACAGATGTACTGAATCACCATGAAAGTCACATGGCAGTGGAGGACTCAGTCTTAAGAATAGCAGCACAAGAATACAGTCAAATTCCATGTTCAGCCAAACCCCCCCTCCCCCCCCCCCCACACACACCCCTCTACAAGGTTACAGAAAAAAAGCAAAAGCAAATCCATATTTCCATCAATCTACTATATTTGGAAGTCATATATTTTATTTCCTGTTAGAAACACTCATCATCTATACCCCAATCCTGAGTCACAATTACAGCCATAGGCTTACTAGTACCTCTTCCATCATGAGTTGCAGACGCTCCGTGAGGCCCAGATTTTGCTTATAATCCTCCACAACTCTGCCAAAATCATTTAGCTGTTTTTGTAACTCACTGATTGACACCAACATGACTCTAACATTGTGTTCATTTGTTGCAGCGTCTACTAATTTCTTCTCTAAATTATCTATCTTCTTTTTAAGAATCTGTTTAAAAGATGTACCAATACCACAAGTAAGTATTTCCAGTTCTGAAACAGTAAGTTAAAAATATGTAAAATGCACAAATCTACTTTCACTTCTGGGTTTTAAAATAAGTAGTATAAGATGCATTTCCAAATGCAAGACAAGCTGAAGGGCCTCTATACTACTGACTGAAATAAACATATTGCTAAATATTGAATTAAATTTTCAACATATAAACAAAGATCCGTATGATTTAAACATTGGATCTTGAATAATGTTCACAAAATCTGCATATGAAAAACAAATATTACTAAGCCTTTAGTCTCTTAATTTGGTAGAATACAAGTCAATTTAAACATAGTCATTTATGCCCTACAATATGTAATATTGCATAAGAATCTGATATAAACAACATTGGTGATAATCTAACATAACCCCAAAGACCCAAAGGAAAACATGTTCATACTAGTACTTAGTGATATCTGGCATAAACGTAATGAGTAGGTTCTAGGATCACATGGTTTGTGTCTACACATACACATTTATATATTTTACATCCTCGTTTTTCCAGTTGATCAAGACCTCACTGGGACGACAGTTATAAAAATGATGTAAAAAAGACAGGTGCTTGATTTTATCTTGGAATATGAGAGGCTGGTTTGAAATAAAAAGTATTTAATGAACTGTCCACATACATACCATTTCCCTAAATAGCTACATGAACACTCCACAGTTTCATGAAAGGATGTTGTAGCAAGGTGTGTGTCAGTCTCTTTTGTCAGGTGAAAAGTAATAGAATGTAAGGAAACAGCCTGAAGTTGTAGCAGGGGCGGTTTAGATTAGATATCATGAAGAGTTTCTTCACAGAAAGAGTGGCTAGGCACCAGAAAAAGTTGCCTGACCAGAAGAGAAGTATCAGAACTGCCAACTTGGGAGATACTTAAGAGACATGTGAGTTTGATGCTTCAGGGACATGGCTAAGTAGTAGACGTGTAGTGCTATGCAATGACTGGACTTGCTGATCTTATGGGTCTTTTCCTTCCTAAATGATTCTGTGATTCTCAAAATATGCACTGGTATGATGAGTGTTGTCAGCTGATCATGGGAGATAATTATTGTTCTCTACTCAGAACTGGTGAGGCTGCATACATTGGAGTGCTGCGTCCAGTTCTTGCTCTCCAGTACAAGAAAGACCTGAACATATCGAAGCACATTCAGCAACAGGCTAGAAAGATGATTGAGGGACTGAGTATGCAATATCCAGTATTCAGCTGGTCTTTGTATAGTTGAATGTCCAGTTGAGTAGTGGACGTTACACAGAGAAACCTGTTATTGTAGATCCTTCTCTAAGCAAGAAGACTGGACTAGATAGCCTGCAGAGAGTCCCTTCCAACCTCACTGATTAAGTGATCTAAATAATCAAGGAGAAAAGTTGTAGAAAGAATAAGACAAGAAATAGTGAGAGCAGAATCACAGAAGCTACTGAAAATTTTGAGAAAAACTGTGAAAAGAAAACTTGCAGGGCAAGTGAACTGAAAAGCATTTTCTCTGGCTAAAAAAAGGGCAATTTGGTTTCTAAAAAGGTCACTGGAAGATTTGGAAGAAGAATTTCTGGTGACTGCAAAGAATAGGTGGGGCCAGAAGAGTTTAAGGTTCCAATAAGCAACTCTAGGCAATGGGAACAGAAAAGGGCTCTGAAGGCCAGAATATTGAAATGAGAAAGGAAAGCAGCTGGATGTAAAAGGAAATACACATATTGATTGTTCATGAATTTGATGGGATATTGGTTTTAGTTAATTATTTATTTGTATTAAGGAGAGGGAAGAGGAAATAATAAATGGTTAAATAATGAAATGAAGGATAAAGAGTGAACAATAGGAAGTCTAGAATTGGGGTGATAATGAAGGGAGCAGAACAATTAAAAATATCTGTGATTGAGACAAGGAAATGATATCAAGGGGAACATAAAAGATTTTGCATTCCCTCTGATTCCTTGGCATAGGCTACAGCAATTCAAACAATCAAATATTTATAACACTAAAGTTTCTAATATTACCTGTATTTTCTCAGCATATGTATCAACTTGCTGAATCTGTATTTTAAGTGCTTTCAAATTTCGAGCTTTTTCAGTTTTCTTAATATAGTTAAACTTCAAATTGTTGAATTTCTTTTTGAGGTCCTTAAATGATTCTCTAAGCTGAAAAAGAGCAATCATATTTGTCAATAAAAGAAAAAATGCTCTTCTGCTTAACTTGCTTTATTCCCCCCCACAGGCTATCCACAGTTTGAACAATGAATATTTAATACAGAAATTATTAACACTGTGTCATCTCATAAGACATCTTATATCCTCAGAATTTTTTTTCAGGTGGGGAAAACACAATCTTTTTATGTCAGAATTTATTCATTCTGGGTATTGAGTATTGTTTCCAGAATGGCTGAGGCAAAAAGCTTAAGACTGAGATTTGTGCTCAGACAACCTAGTCCTGGAGCATTCGCTTCAACTACAATGAGATTACTTTCAGGTTCTGTAGTCCCTTTGGTAGCCAGTTTAGCCACATGTAGTTTCCAGAAGAAAAAAATATATATATTGGTATTTACTTACAATGCCTTTATCCTACAATATTTCAATTTTTTTTTTTTTCAAATAGAAAAGAATTTTTATAATAGAAAACAATGTTATTGTTATACTGGAAATTGATTAATAGAGAAAAAAGTTGATTCTATATTTATCTATATCTATCATTCAGTGATTCTATAATCCTTGCATACAGCAGAAAATAGTATTGGAAAATAAAATGGATGGAAACAATATTTAGTATTAGCAGAAGCTCCGCTTCTCAGGGGATTAAACAGGTGTTCAGTTCTATATACTGTGGTAGTTTAAACATCCCAGTCTGATTACTCACAGCATATGAATTCAGTTCTTTGCAAGGTCAGGATGTAGACTATATATGAGCACCTGAATTTCAGTAACTATTCTATTTCCTCTTTCTTTTTTTCCTCTCTAACTCCAATTATTTATTTGCTTCAATGTCATTTTACAGGTGTGTCCTTAATAAACCGTATTTCATTCTTTGCAGTAGTGGCATTCTATAAAGAGGCGTATCAAAGTATCATAAAGTATCTTCAAAGTACTGTGAATTTAAGTGTAAAATGGTATGTTTTCCCTCAAAGTTACACAATTTTCTTTTCATTTACAACTGCAAAATATATTGCAGTTAGTTTTGAATGCCTTTAAACAGTAGGAAGAGCCAGGCAAGTGGAAAAAAAAATAAATCTGCTACAGTAAGCTGCTAATACCTCAGAAGAGGTATTTTAACTTTTGAATTCCAAAATAAATACAAATCCTTCAAAAGTGTTCACAAAAATTGAAAAGGAAGAAAAAACTTGAAAGCTTTTTGTGAATTTCACACCTTTTGGAAGCTGACAATCTTTTGTGTTTAGAACATAGAATAAATTCTAAAAAATTACACTTATCTAAAGGAAATGATATCAAAGAAATATGTCCATTGTAACAACTCAGGTTCTGCCAGCTGCACATACATGAAAAATAATTACACTTGATAAATTTAACAGCTTCAGGTGAACACCCACAATTTAATAATTAAAATATTTGAAACTTTTTTGTTTAAATTAGAGTCATACTGTCTCCCTGAGTACTACCCCTAAGAACCCAAGGAGTACTGAATGCTCATTCTGCTGCTACTGACACTGGAAAAGCTAGCAATTTACCCTTATTATTACGCATTAATGTTAATCCACCAAGAAATATCTTTTTCATTTTCATTTCATCTAGGGGGACTCTATTACATTACCTCAGCACTGAACAGTCTGATGGTATGCATTCAGTATAAATAAAAGCGAAGCCAGTTCTATCACTTACACTGTGAACTCCAATCAGTTTAAGCTCTTTATCCCACCTAAGGATACTGAATAATAAAACCTATCTGTCAGCACAGTTAATAAAACCACCTCTGTAGAATAATATTTTGTATTCAAAACAAAGCCTTATTTGCTAATTTTGAGGAAAACAAGAGATGAGTAAGAGTTCTCTTCAGTTTATTTCGGTGGCTTATTGCAGATACATCAGCTAGTGATCTGTAAGGACAGAGGCTCTCCTCAAAGCATGCGAAATAAGATCGCCTTGTTTCAGATATGATGGCTCATGTGTCAAAGGTCTGCAGCTGCTGCCACTCTTCTCTTTTAGCCTCAGTGGAAAACCAGATTCAGCTCAGACTTGCATGTTATCCTCGGAGCACATGTACACAACTTTTGCTCATATCAGCAACTTTACCAGGGTACAGTATATGGCTCAATCGTTAGAAAACTGAAATTGAAACGTATCTCCATTTTCTAGTATTTCCTGCAAAATACAATGAGAATTAAAGTATCTATGCACACTAATACGCTCTAATGACTTCAGCCAAGTTTAATGGAACTTTGACTTCTCCATTGTGTCATAGTCATTTATCAGGCAGCTGTTCCTAACTATAGTTGGGCTGTCATGAACAGAGAATGATGGTGGAGAGGGTTTTAGATGTCAGTCACTAAGATTTATCACATAACTATGATACACATGAAAAAAGCAGTTTATAAACAACTGCTTTAAACACGTTTTTGTTAACAGTACAATTCCACTATAGTGCTTTGATTTCTAGTCTCTCTAGGAGGCACTTCAACATTATTATCCACTTAACAGAATTAACTACAAGTAAGAATTACGTTACGAAATAACAGTTCCTACTGATTTGTAAACTAAGGTAGCTCATCACCATTAAAGTGCTGTAAATTCACGTTTTTCATAAGGAATCAGAAAAGAATTGATCTGATTGGGAGAGCAGAGAACCTACTTTAGGATCTGTTATTCTTTCACTGCAGTTTTTGTGGAAGAACACAAATGTTACTGATAAAAAGTCTTCTGCAGTGCAAGGGTTATCATGTGTACGTAACCCTGCTACTTTTAACCTCACGTATAGTTTCAGCATAGCATTAAAGCTAAATGAGGTTTGATTTAGCTCTGTCACAAATGATTGCAGCATAATGCAGTGGTGTTTTGGCTCTCCGTTAGTAGATAGGGAAGAAATTATCAGAAGTCTGCCAGATATTAGCAATATTCAAATTAATCTCCAATGTTAAAATTAACAGACTACGAAATAGTAAGTGAATGCTCATAACTTGAGGATTACGGAACTAGTTCTTAATTCTTCATTTAAAAAATGAACAAAAATAAAGATGAATTAAAGCATATACACCTACATTATCCTAGTTTTGCTGAGGAAATTTCTTTTATATTAACTTCTAATAGAAATGGGATATAGTTTAAAAAGTATTCTCCCTGAATACGGCCAGCCTTACAGGCAAGATATTGAGCAAATACTTCCCTTTTCTTCAGCAATCTTGGGGAGTTTTCATCAAGAAAATGAGAATATTTTAATTCAAACTTCAAACATTCTGAACATGAAATGCTAATGTCATCAGTGCTTCATTTAAGCAGCTCAGTCTGGGAAAATTCATTCTGAGGAATGCGTCCCAAATTTTTCGTGAGATATGGCTTTACATTTTATCTGCTAAATAGCAAGTGAACTTATAATTGGCCTGCTATGATGCTACATTAATAGTCACATTAACTTTTCCTAACCTAAATCCTGTAATACTACATTCCACTATCTTATGTCAAGGAATACTTTTTCCTTTAACAATTTTTCTAAGTATTAGACCTTAGGTTACTGACAAAATATCAGGAACTGAAGTATTCTGAATTTCTCCTCAAAAAAAAGCTATTACTGACACAAGAAACAGCCTTATAATCACAATTTCCGTAAATTCTACTTTTGTTTCAAACTTCAGCTTCATTTAAAAAAAGGACATCTGGAGACCCACACATTTCAGGTAAAACTGACAAAGACGAAAATCAAAGAAAATCTAGCTGCTCTATTTCCAGTGCTCTCAGTACAGTAAAAGAACTTCATTGTCAGCCCAAAACCTTTTTATAATCCTCAGCTGCAGAGTTACAGACCATAGGCTATCATTGCTACTATCAAAGGTTGCTTACAAGATGAAAATTAACTTTTCTCTATGTACACAATGGATCTAGGAGAAAGGCAAACAGCAATGTGTATTGCTGAACACAACAGCCCTTTTAACAGGTATTTTTTTCATTTACCTCATTAATCTCCTCTTGACTGATATAGTATTGGAAGTGCTGTGATAGTTCTTCCTCATACTTATCTGCTTTGGAGCTCCAGTTAATGCTGTCACACTCAAGTCGAGCAAGTTCTTGTTTAAGATTCTTCACAGAAACATTCAAGCAATTCTAAACAGGGAATATACAAAAAGAAGTATGAAAATCAGGGCAATACTGATTCCATCAGTCTAAAATGCAAATTGCAAAACCAACTGATTGTTAGAGTAAGCAATGAAGAATATATTTCATAATTCCTGGATGCTTTGTTTCATTTGATGGCTGTGTATCTGCAAATTCTAAAAGCAGAAATAAAAAAACACTTAACTATTATAGAATCTTTGTTTTTCTTCCCTTTAAAAGGATTCTCAAAGTTATGTATTTATTTCATTCACTGTATTAATACATATTTTGTACATCTAGATGTCAAAGTTAGCTCTATAGTCTTATATATTTAACATTGGTTTCATAGGTCAGTGTAATTCTACTCACAGGCTTCTGCACTGCAGACAAGATATCCACTCCCTGGTCAATAGCCAGCTTATAAAGCTGTCTGATATGCATATGTTTCTTTTGAGCATTCAAAAGGTAAGCTTTGGCATGGTGCACATCTTCAGGGACCACAGCAATTTCCGGAAAATCCAGTTCTCCTGATTTTGATAGACATTCCAGCTGGAATATATTAAACTAAAAATCAGTGTGTATTTTAAATGTGAATGGAAGCTTACCATTACATCCTTACCCATAATGTGCAATTAAATTTGGGTTTCAATCTTAATTTTAAGCACTCAAAGTTTCACAGTTTCAGATCTTAAGTTTTATTCTGATCACCAGATATGTTAATGCTGTTCATTTGAAGAAAAAAGGAAAGATTACAGGCAGCAAAATTAAAAAAAAAAAAGATTAGCAGCAAAAGGAAAACATGCATTAGAGGATTTTACTCACTTCTTTCTTAACATGATGGAATTTAAGCGTCTTGTTGAAAATCTCATCATACTCTGTCATTGTGCTCTTCACCATTTGATGAAGGTGAATAAGCTCACTTATTCTTTCAGAATTCTCCTTCACAGGAAATCCTTTCTGACTTGGCAACTCTAATAATTTCATCATGTACTCCAGCTCAGCATTCATTTGCTAACAAAAAAGAAGTAGAAAGTCCACAAATATATTTGCAAGATTTCCCTTACATCTGAAATATAACAACCTCTGAATGGTAAATTATCGTAGGAAAAACTGCATTAAAGAAAATCAAGTTCCCTACATTTGTTAGCTGGACCAACTGACTGCTATGTTGTCACATGCAGGACAAAATGTTTTGCGATATGTAAGACTACAGTAGTTCTAAGTCTCATACAAAAAAGCTGATATACTTTATTTTTTTCAGCAGAATCCAGCAGAAAGAGAGCTCAACTCTCACAAATGAGAGAGGAACTGTCAAGCCAGCAAAAAGAGCTTCTAAGCCAGTTGCAACCTCTTTGTTTCTGCAGCTGTAGACCAAAGAGCACACCTACAGAGCTGTACTGCATGCAGACATCACCTCTCTCTACAAAACAGCACAGCTTACTAGTTGACTTGCAGGACTGTGAGGACTGTGAAACATGCATCACATGATGATGATGAATTTGGCATTTTTATTAAATTTTTAGTAAATGAGCATCTTCAGTTACATTATTGTTAAGGAACCTAAATAAATGCTCTGTGTTCCACAACACAAAAATCCCCCCCCCCCGCCCATGAGCCCAGCTGAAAGAATTTTCAAAGATGCAAAGTAATATCAGACAACAAAAAACAAAAACCTTTGAAAATGCTTCCAAGAAGTTCATGTGCCCTGGAATACTCAGTGGCCATCAACATTTGTAATTTTACAAAAATATTTTCCATCAGAAAACTTTTTTTCTATGTTTCCATTGCCCAGTGAAAGACTGAAACATGAAAAAGGCCACAGCAGAAAAAACAGCAATACTTCTCATACCTGAAGTCATGTAAAATTTTCGTCCTGTGTGGGGTCAGGAGTTGGGCTCAATAATCCTTGTTGGTCACTTCCAATTCAGGATATACTATGATTCTATGAAATGCCTCTTTAAAACATTCTATGGAATGCCTCTTTAAAACATTTAAAACAGTCCTCTCCCTCACCCTGCTGGCCGCCCCTCTTTTGATGCAGCCCAGGATACTGTTGGCCTTTTGAGCTGCAAGCATGCACTACTGGATCATGTCCAACTTTTTCATCCATTAGAATCCTCAAGTCCTTTGCAGGGCTGCTCTCAGTGAATTCTTCTCAATCTGCACACGTATTTGGGATTGCCCCAACCTAAGTGCTATATCTTGCACCTCATTAGGTTTTTGTATGTCTGCTTTTCAAGTTTGTCCAGTTCCCTCTCCATAACATCAATTCATTCTATCACATCAACTGCATTACTCAAGCTTAGTGTCATCAGCAAACTCATTGAGGGTGTGCTCAATCTCACTTTCTAGGTTATTGATAAAGATGTTGAAGAGCACTGGTCCCAAGACAGATCCCTGAAGGACACCACTTGTCACCAGCCTCCACTTGATGTTCAGATCTTGTTCAGACCACAACCCTGTGGCTGCAATCATCAAACCAATTTTTTTTTTCACCAAATAGTCCAGCTTTCAAAATCGTATCTTTCCAATTTAGAGACAAGGAGTATTGTAGTATGAGACCATGTCAAAGGCCTTGCACAAGTCCAGGTTGACAACAACATAATGCTGATATATCATTGGTATGATGATTCAAATGTAGCTAACATTATACAAAGCATTCTGGGGACAGTGAAGGTAAGATATTTTCTCCCTGACCTCATCAACACACAAAATCTCTCTTCCAGAAAGTTAATATAAAAGGTAATTAGTGTGGCTCCAAATTCTGTCTGAAAGCAAGGTTAGTACATGATCATTCCCTGCACCAGTAAGACCATTTGAACTACTATGCACTTCAGGAGCTCAGTTTCTCACCTGAAACTGTGGCTTCATTTGGTTAAGTTTTTGTTGTTCTAAGGCAAGACAAACATAACTTCCAAGATCAACTGTTGACGTAAGTGTGAGTGCCTCTTGAAGAAACTGTAGACCTTGCGTAGTCTAAAAGAAAATATTTTAGCGATATTTTAGCAATATCTCAGTATTTCTGTACAAAATAAAAAAGTTAGCCCAAATCTAAATTTGAAAGAACCATCCTCAATGCAGACATGCAAATGTTATCAGTAAATTTCATTAGAATAGATTATTAGTAGGAAAACCACTAGTTTTCACTAGTAGAAACTGAAATTACGAAGCCCTGTGACTAGAAGCTCTCAAATCTTTGTCCTTATGAACATTTATAGCTACTAAGCTCAAAGAAACTATTTTAGTAATTTAAGTTACAATAAGATGATGCTAAAAAAAAAACAATTGAAATGACAACTCATAGGGTTTGAAAAGGGACAAAGATCAAAATCATCATCATTCTCGATGACCACCTGGGTAGTAAAACAGATTATGGAGAATTATCTTACTATTTCTCTTCCTAAAATAATACCTCTAATAGTTGGTAGTCACAAACTATTAACAATCTAGAAATAATTGTCACAATTGCTTTCTTTGTATTTTATTTACCTTATTTAGTTGCTCTTCCAATATCCAGCACTGTTGCCTGACAGGTTTTCCTTGATTAATTTTAAAATTCCAGATTGCCCAAAGATCAGTCAGTTCTTTCATTTCTTTACTCAAATTGATAATGGTTTCTTCTATAACTTGTACAGATTTTTCTACTTTTAATATTAAGCCGTCACTTATCTGGTAAATAAATAAGAACACACGTTTTCCACCATTTGTATTAAAAATATACAATACAACCTCATAATATTAAAATATTAACAACATTTAATAAAAAGCAAATATTTTAGGATAATTCCTTTGAAAATTTTTGGTACCCTACATGCATTTAAACATACTACTCTCTTAGTAATAGACATAGCTGAATAGATTTCATATACTGAGGCTATAACTACTATTACTTTTTTAAATCCAGAACAAGTCAGTAATGATCTAATTATTGCCATCTAATAACAGTTCAAATGCTCATACAAAATTTGGAATTATTTTTGAACTGACAGAACTACCCAGAAACAGCCTTCTGGGGAATAGCAGCTGGATGATGAAAGGAACAAAGGACAGACCACCCTGTGCTGACAACTATAGCAGCACCAAAGCATGGGAGACTGTTCAGCATTTGAACATTGGCAGGTTTTCCTCTTTTTAACAGAGCTCAAAGACTGTAGCAAACCTGATAATGCTGTTGCTGCTTTTCTCATTTAAAGACCTTCTCTTTTAAGAAAAATTGAGTTCGTAAATTACTAGTTTGGTCTGTATCACTTCCAGGCTATAACTGTAACTATCTCTTTAGAGAGAACATCTGAAGATACACGTATACTTTAAGTAATTTCATAGAATAAAATCACAGAATCATTAAGGTTGGAAAAGACCTCTATAATAATCTAGTCCAACCATCAATCCATCATTACCATGCCTCTCAGTGTTACACCTGCCCTTTTCTTGAACACTTCCAGGAACAGTGACTCCACCACCTTCCTGGGCAGCCTGTTCCAACACTTCATCACTCTTCCTGAAAAGAAATTCTTCCTAATATCCAACCTGAACCTCCATTGATGCAACTTGAGGCCATTCCATCTAGTCTCATTGCTAGTTATGCAGGAGAGGTCAACCCTCACCTTGCCACAATTTCCTTTCAGGCAATTGTAGAAAGCAATAACATCTCTCCTGAGCCTCCTCATCTCCAGATTAAACAATCCCAGTTCCCTCAGCTGCTCTTCATGCAACTTCATTTTCAGACATATTCAGCTTACTGTTGCTCTGAATAGTTTATCCTTGCCTGGCTGTATTCAGATCTGACAGCACACACTTCAGCCCTCACTAGCTGCCTCAGTACCTTCCTTAAGCAATTTTTTCCACACCGTTTTCCCTTTCTCATCCTCTCAGCTCATTGTGACTGGTCCCTTACCTCTCTCATAAAAGCAGAATTAACAGCTGCTTATCCATGCTGTCTACATTAATTGAGACCACTACATTGAGACCACAGTTTACAAGGCATGGCATAGATGGTGAATCTCAAGCAATCATCTCATGAAGAGGTGCTAGAAAATTAGATTGAAATGCCTAGGCAATGCAGCTTATTTCAAGAAAAAACGTAAATAAATCAGGAATGATTATCTATGTATAAAGAAGAACTCCAGTATCCATTTTCTTAGAACCGCATACACTTACATAGGTGAAGAATGACTCTTACTGGAAGTAAAAAAACCAAATATCACACATCTGTTCTGCTTTCCAACATGAACAAAATTTATACATCCACATATTATGTTTAGTACATGTTCTGGCTCACTGGTTAATAGTCACCTCATTACCAAAGACAGAAGTCTTTATACTTATTATAATACCACTATCACACATATAAGACTTCAATATCTTACAAATTATACCTGCCTTTGTACCTTTAAAATCAGGTAATGGTGAAATCACAATGCATCAGTCACAGAACTGGGATTAAGCCCTAACAGAGGCGAACATCAAATATTCAGTGCAATTTAGCAAATTATACTAATTTATATAGAAAACAAGTGGCTAATTCCCTCCTGCTAGGGAAAAAAGGATACAGAAGTAATTATTGATGAAATCTTCCAGAATTCTTATGATTTCTGCTCGGTTTATACAAGCTTTCCTACACATCAGCTGGGATAGGATACACGTCAACCCATGAACTTGACTATTTGCAGCAGATTTTTTCATAGATGCATCTGCGTCCATAAGGATTTTGTTCTATGCAACTAATATCATCAACAAGCACATCACCAGTATATACCATGCATGGTATGATTTCAGTAAAATTTCAGCTTTTCAGAAGAAAACAGTGCCGCTAGCTATATATTCTATGCTGTCCTATGAAACATATTCTCTGCAGAACAAGAAATATTTTCACTTCAAACTTTGGGAGATTAGTTCTACCTCCAGTATTATTCCATCTATTTCATACATTGTTGTGTATTAATATGTTTGATCACCTTACAAGCATTTCAAGTTTTAACTTTCCCTCACTTTCATTTTGTAAACATTAACACTTCCAAATCAGTTTTTTTTACAACATCATTTTCTGAAAATACAGATAACTACATTTCTCAGAATGAGCATTTATTTATTTTATGAATTGGGAATGAGGAACTTTTTTAAAATTATTTTTTCCTAGATTTAACTGTAATTTCATAGAAGCATCTCAATCATTTCATTTTCTTCCTAACTTCTCCTCTTCCTTATACATGCACTGAAACAGAACAAATGCACTTTTGCTTTAGGCTCTTTTATGAAGGTTAGAAGAATCTATACATCTGTCATATTCACAGAATCCTATAATTTGAATTTATTCCATGAGAAAGGTGGTAACTCCATGACATAGAAATCTCACCATATTTACTAAATTAAGAAAAACGCGACCCAGATTTTCAGTGGAAAAAAACTTCTCTATAGATTCTTGCCACTTTGTATTAACTGACTCCATTGCATTTTTATTTTCAGCCCCCCTGCTTGTTTGCAGAGGCTCTGCTTGATAGAATTCCTTCAGATTTTGAATGTAGTCATTCACCTGTGAGAGATGGAAAATAAACATCTCTTTTTAAATCACAAATTCAGTTGCTATAGTCAGAAGGTATATAGACAATGAAGTTGAAGATAAAGTCAGGCTATATTGAGCTGTTTACAGATTTTAAAATCTTTCTCCCCAAGACCTATAATGATACTAAACAACATTCAAATTAAGTAATCTGTAAACCAATAGTTGAAAGCAGACAAATAATTTCTATCACAGATGTTTACATGTGTGTTATATACCAGCATAGTGAGCAATTACTTTCAAATATCGGTTTAATATCAAGTAAATTATATTAGCAATAACTAGTAGCAAGTGCGATCTAGTTATTGACTATTTAAACTCAAGGCATCGAATACTATTGCTATTTTTATCCAATGCATTCTACTCCATTGTCAATTTCTCCCTAAAGAAACAAGTGTTGCAGAATATTAAAACCAACATTACACCAAAATAAAAAGTGATGCTTAAGGCAATTAATAACACAGAATTACGTTATTGCATGGATTATACAGTCCCTTTTTAAATCCATACAAATTAGCACTTCAGAGGACACACAGATTGTTATAAATACCTATACCTACATATAAGATAAATATATTGACAAATATTTAAGATATGAAAATAATCAATCAATTTTTATTATGTATATAATGAGATACCAAAAGAGCACATGAGAAAAAGAAAAACTCAATTATAATAGTTCCTATGATGATGATTTAAATCACTAGAAAATCTGTACATTGGCTAATTATTACGGTGATTAAAGTTCAATGATCAGGGCCACCTTCCAGATGGTACAGATCTCCTCTAAAGCAGAAATAAGCTTACAAATACTTGGAGTGCTACTGTGGCACAGCACTTAAAGGATTTGTATTGTTTAAAATAAAGCAAATGCTTGATTAAAAGATTTTTCACCATTGAAACAGAATAAGTAGGAAGCCTATACCTCCAATGAAGACTTTAAAAAGGCCACATAAGTTGTTAGAATTTCTACTTTTGTACAAATATTTCTTTCAGCTTTTTTCAGTTCTTCATTCAAGAAATCAGTTTTGGTTTTAAAAGCTGCCACTTGCTCAGGTTCAAACTCTTTCATGTCTTTGATGATTCCCTCAGCTTCTCCCAGTTCACATGAAGTTTCCTTTCAAGATACAATTGTAGAACAAAATGTACAATGACTACAAAGCACTTGTCGATATTGATATCACATTGTTAATTTTCATTAGCATCACTATTTTTCTGTACAATTCAATTACTTTGTTGAAGAGCTCAATGTTCCCATTATGTGCTGAAATAAAATATTACAAGAAGGAAATGGTTTAACACTAAGAACTGTATGTCATTGAAGGTAGCCATTAAAATCAGAAAGGAACAGGAATCTCAGTATACAGATGAAGTTAGCCACTTCATAAAGCAAGAACAAAAACAAAGTGTTTCACAGAGAAACACAGCCAACCAGACCAATACATTACCATTTATAAACAGTATAGAATAATTTTCTGAACTGATTTCTGAGTTTAACTCCATCTTAGCAGCTTCTGTTTGATACCTATTTTTAAAAGTACTGTGTCCACTCTAGAGTGTAACTGGGTATTTGTGAGTCTACGGCTGTAGTAGTTTGCATTTATTTCTAAAAATATTTAATGTTAATAAATCTGAGTACTTTTTTTTTTTTTTTTTTTTTTTTTTTTTT